TATTCACCCCATCGAAGTGCAGGAGTCGCAATGATTGTTTATTACATTTTTTTCTAGAAAATAAAAGAAAAAGAAACTGAACGCGTATTACATATAGTAATTAGCTTGTCAGATTTCAGACGAGCTTGTTTGTCTATTGGAATTGATGGATTTTTTATGGTTAAAATATTTTGCGTTCTAGTACTAAATATAGTATGCCACTACGCAAAATATGTAAATAGAACAAAAAACTTCTTTTAGATTAATGTGGTAACTATATTTCAAGAACCGAATGTGCGGAACGTGCCTGGTGGGAGAAGACAAAGAAGAAGAGTTCATCTCTGTCGCGAATAGTGGACTATGAATGCCACAAATAGTAACTACCAGACAACCTATTCAGACGCAAGCCGGATCGAATCAATGAGCACCATGACAGACCTACGCTCAAGTCACCGCATGATGAAGACGGGTTGCATCATCTTTTTTCCGTTGGGGCTGACGTCACTGATAGCAGCCCTCTCGCTCGTCTACATCACCGCAATGCACGATCAGCACTATGCACGTCCTCGTGCGGGAACCAGCGTGGCGGAACGTCACGACACCGCGACGACGCCAAGGTGGATTTCGGAAGCCACACCTGTTCACAGTACGTCCGACAAAAGGATAGACGCGGAGGACCAAGCTGAGACGTCCCTATCACCTTTCTACGGCAGAAAAGGAGACATGACCTCCAAGTTAGGAAACCCGACCCGCGGTGTCGCTACTGGCCCATCTATAGGAGCTTCTGAAGAGAACGCGAAAACAAGCTGGCTTGCTGTCGCCGACAGCAGGAACTCATCAAAGACGACTGCTAAGAAGGTTTGGTTCCCGGTGTCCACCAGGAGAAAGTCTACGCGCTCTCCTAAGGTCATCTCCACAGTACGATGGACGCACCCATTCTCGCAAACCGTGCAACGAATCGACTTTGATTCTCTGGATAACGAAGACATGAATGACATTGGTGACCATGCGCACAAAGGCAAGTCAAGTGGGACATCCAGGAACGCTGCGACCAGTGACCGTGAGTACACGAGGACCACGGACCTACTCGACCTTCTGGGCGTCCTGGATACTTCGGTGCCTCTCGTGAACTTGTCTGGAAGCGCCAAGCGTGGGAACTTCAATAAGGAGAAGACAGTTCATGACATGATGAATCGTCGTTACCGTCTCCAAAGCGTGGGGTCCACCAGGTCATCGTGGAGGAGGCCCACCATAGGTAAGATATGAGAAAGACAGAAAACGACGTTATTGTAGTGCGTCTTTTCTCACATGCTCTCCACTGAATGCCTTGAAATTCATTCATATGTAGCACAAAAGAGATAATACACGGGACATGTATTGCCTGTTGCGTTGTCAACGTGTTTTTCATTGTGAAGATGTAATGTCTCATTTGTTATTTGTTGAATGAATTAATAAGTTGAACTTCGCGCGTCTTAAGGTGTTACAATCCACAGGACGTTTAGCACATGCATCCAACCGGAAAGGCTTTGAATTTTTTATTCCGAAAGCTACTCTCCTATGGAAGTCGTGTCTTACCTGTAAGCCATGCGACTTGAAAATACAATTTAAGGTTTTTCAGGTGTATGTTATTTCTAAATTTTAGAATGGGGAGGCAATTGGTCTTTTGAAATAGTTTATTGTTACTGAGTTGACACCGCTTGTATATTTTCAGGTGGAAGAAACAGCCGCCTGACTCGCAAGATTTCTCCTGCCTCGATGCGAGTGCAGACGCGTCACCTGCCTCTGTTTAAACGACGCTCAATGACAACGAAAAAATCACGCTTCGTATCTCTAAAATGACGTCACCGTGCTGTAGTTAATGATTTTTACGAATAAAAGAAGATAAGGGTTTTACCTTTGGTAAAGAACATGATAGGTCTAGATAATGAAGGCATGGTCAAACATGGCCTATCTGATTGTGACGCGTTGCTGCTTCAACCTAGGAGTTCTTCGTAGTAAAGAAGCAAAAAGGAGGCCACATGCGAAAAAAAGATATCTGATCGCACACAGCGTTGTGTGTCGCCAGATGTATTTTAGGAGCGAAACTCCTTAAGGCGTGGGCTGTGCGTCCCCTGTATGTAGCCACCTCTCGTTCAGCTCTAAGTATTACGCTAGCCACCGCCCGATCTAAAGGGTACAGCCATATCCATCCGTCCATCCGTCCGTCCGTCCGTCCGTCCATCCATCCATCCATCCATCCATCCATCCATCCATCCATCCATCCATCCATCCATCCATCCATCCATCCATCCATCCATCCATCCGCCCATCCGTCCGTCCGTCCGTCCATCCATCCATCCGTCCATCCATCCATCCGTCCATCCGTCCGTCCGTCCATCCATCCGTCCGTCCGTCCGTCCGTCCATCCATCCGTCCGTCCGTCCATCCATCCATCCGTCCATCCGTCCGTCCGTCCGTCCGTCCAAAAGATGCAAGATGTTATAAACTAGACGGCGGTACGTGTAGTTGATTATGAAAGATGCGAGGTGTTATAAAATAGGAATGATGCCACATATGGCACGTGTCATCGTTCGATATAGTGCGGCGACGTACGCTAGAGGGAGCGTTGCAATAAAATCGAGTGGGCAAAATGTACGGAGGATTCATGGTTTACCAGGTTTACCTCCGGAGCTTCGCCCACTCATCATCATTCACTTCGTGGATATGGCGGCATTTTTTTGTTACATCGCTACCCTTATTGTATTTCTGTTAAGACAACACGTATTTCAAAAATGGCTCTTATCTGACAACGCCAAAAGTGAATCGTGATGTTTTATCATATCCGACTACGATGTGTTTCTATAGTAGAGCATATTAAGCGAAAAAAGTACTGATACCTCCATGGGTCATCTCAAATTTGTAGAAGTCCTGTTACACACGCTGAATGTCTTGGTGGTAAAGAGTCGCGAACACTTATGTGGTTGCCTAGTAAACTCGTAAAATGAATTGTGTACATTACAGTCATGACTTGGGGACCGTAACGTCAGTATCTAATGTTAATTAACCTTCGTTAGGCAACAAGCTCGACATGTGGAGCGGCGCGAGTTCTCGACAAAGACAAAGGTAAATAGTGCCAGAGGGTGAGTGAACAACCCCGAGGTCCGAAAATTGTAATAAATAGAGATATGGGCACTTTTGATTTGTGAACGTGCTACCGCTGGAATTCTGCAGATACAACACTTTTCGAGCATCGTCAGAAAACGCTGACTACAGGTAGTAAAGGCTTCTGAGAACACGGGAGCAGAATATTGGAGTGCAGCACGCGGTCTTAAATTCACAAATTATCAAAATCAGCTCGAAATTGCTTTTTCTTCTCTCGACAAATGACGGAAACAGCTAGAAGATCACTGGTAAAAGCCACGCCATCAGTCATTGTCCAATTTGAACATGAGGCAGTCGGTCTTTACAGGGATAGCCGAGGCAGGCCACGACTTGTCCACACGTGCGCGCGTTATCACACTAAAAAAGCCGCCTATTCAAAGAAAAAGAAAGAAAAAGCTCGAGGTCACAAGACGCACGTGACGTATTTTCTTTGCCCCAGCGGGGTAAGAAATATAGAAAAGAGGACCATGTAAGCAAGCACGCCATTCCTCCCTGCTTAACTTCCAGCGCGTTCCATGTGAGTGCAGCGTGCGACATATGTTTGTAATTCCGCTCGTACTGGATGGATTATCAAAATTTTTGCGGTGGTGAATACATTCTATGGTTACTTGAAAAAGTGTTTCAGGGTGCCTTTGAAGAAGTTACAAGGGTTGGAACATCGCTTTTTTTTTCTTGAAATGTTCATGCTACCTCTCCACCCTTCTTTCTGCCAAGGAAGGGAAGACGTAGCGCGTCGTCGTGACTGGTTTAAACCAATCGACGAGCTGCGTGCTACGCCAAGTCACCCATCGGTGAATTTGCGTCACTGCGCATGAAAGGAAGATTGGTCAGGCGTAGGAAAAGAGCGCGGGAATGGTTTTTGCAAAATGAAGGCTGTGTGTGGCAGGCAGAGCTATGGTATTCGGAAAACGTCGTCGCGGCGATCTACTCTATGAATTGCCGAGCTTTTTCGTGGGTTTAAAAAAATAAGAGCCTCATGATTGGCCCTTTGGGAGAACTGCAAAAGTCCAACATATTTATGAAGAAGCAGAGGTTTTATAGGCGTAAAAAATGTGATTGATATCTGGGGTTTAACGTTCCGTAGCCACCATACGATTATGAGAGATGGCGTAGTGGAGGGCTCCAGAATTTCGACCACCTGGAGTTGTTTAACGTGTACCTAAATCTGAGCACACAAGCCTACAGCACATGGGCCTACATTTTCGATGGAGGCTCTCGCCTCCATCGAAAATGCAGCCGCCACAGCCGGGATTCAATCCCGCGACCTGCGGGTCAGCAGCCGAGTACCTTAGTCACTGGGCCACCACGATGGGGTAGGCGTAAACAATTCAGTCAACTGCACATACTGCTTAAACTACCAAGTTTAGCACGCCATCAAGAAGTAGGCAGTAGACGCAAATGGGAAGATAGTTTTGCGTGTTTCAGGCCGTTGCGACTTCCCGAGGCTGTTTTGGGCTTCCACAACATTCAGGCTTCTCCAGTAGAAATGCAAGCACCACTGAATAATGCAAATGCGATAGATGTGCGAACAGTAACCTATAGTGACCGCATGAAGACAAAATCATGAGAGCGTTGAGAATGGGGCGTAACAACCGCGTTCCTGCATGTACTCACTTCCTCAGTGCGACTAGATAAGTCGCTGAGAGTTAGCTTTAGATTATTGTATGTCGTGGGTTAGCTTCTGGGGTGTTTAAGCAAAAGCGTGTTATGCCGGCAAGCCCAAGTGTAAGTACGCGGGAAGAGAAAAAAAAAATGAATTCGAAGAGAACTCCCATTCTCATCATGAAAGGCGTCTGGGAAACATTGGTCAAACACTTTTGCACGAAATTGTTGCGGGTGTATGAGTTGTGATGAAACGAGCTTTTGTAAGTGCGTAACAATTTATTTTAACTCATTCTCAAGAATTTGTTTTGATGCGGTGAGCGCTATCGTCTAATGACGTCACCCTTGTGCTTGCATTGTTCTGAAGGTCGTTCTTGGTGTCGTGCATGAATGCCTGTATAATGGAAACAAAACAAAACGCGGAAATAAATGCTCTGTGATCAGTTTTAGATGTTCTTATTTAACACGCTCCAATCGTTCAGTATTAAGAGTTGTTCACGTTGCTATTGACAGATCACTTTTGCTGCATGCTGATCTTTCTTCACCAAATAATTGATTTAATACACAGATGACTGTCACAGCAGTGAGAAACGATTCATAAATAAACCAACGAATGATACTCGATAGTACTATCACGAAAATGAAACGTAAATTTGCGAAAACACTCTGTCCCTAATCATGTTTACACGAACAATTATTTAAGTACTTACCGGTGTGAAATTGAGACAGCAGAGAGCATGAAGTATAAATGGTGGCCGGAAGGAATGTTATCTTTGGCTGCACTCGTGTAATTACAGCGCCACTGATTTATTCGCGATTGAGCTAACTCTCTGGTTTTTATACTGTACATATATCCCTAAAAATATTGAATTTATATTAATGGAGGTATACAAATGTGTGCCTTTGAAGAGGCTTTTTATGTCTTCTATGAAGTCGGTGCAGCAACTACAGTATGTAACCTTATGAGGTCGTAGTTCTGGCTCACAAAGCGCTAGCTTCATTTGAATTTTATTTTCTTCCTATCAAAGTCTTAGAAGCTAATTGGTTAAAATGGGCCAGCTTGCTCGGGCGTCAGATGGATTGTTCTGACATTGGTGTGGCCAGGACCCTGATGCTTCTGATTTCCGATTTTCACTACTCACTGGTTGGTCCAAATGCCGAAGCAGAAGCACGAACATACTAGTAAAAGACGTTAGGATTGTAATTTAAAATAATTGAGCTCACACATTCCAAGAGAAGAAAAAATAGGCCCACTTGAATACACCATATTTTGTTACTTCCCCTTTATTCCCGTACATTTTCGATTTCTATTGATTCCCGACTTTACAATGAGTAGATTGGATTGGATTGGATAAACTTTTATTAATTACAATGAGTAGAGACACGGTGGAATTATTCTGAGTGCTTGAGGATTTATAGGTGCCTGCATAATTGTTTGTTTGTCAGCCTAATATTTCCGACATAATACCTATTTGAACGGTACTTGAGCGTTAAAGGCCAACTCCGGCGTTCTTGACAGTATCAAAGTAATGGCACTTTTACTTTCAATTTTTGCACCATTCAGGCCGTAGTCGGTATCACCAAAGTTTTTGTGCAATGAACCCGCACTGGGATCTAAAAGACTCTAATATCGAGGCGAAGGGTTATCGTAAGATCCGATCGAGTGTTTTGTCACTGTTCAGGTGATTGCATGGGAAACCTTGTGCAACAACACTGCAGCATCACTTGCCACCCTTCGCATGTGCGCCCACAACAAACAAATTTGCATGCCGAAGTGGCGAAGCGTAGGCCACACAACACACGCGATCATTGCCTTGCGGACAGCAGACGATATAGAGGCACGTATGTTCCGTCACTTCCGTCGTCATGACACAAATCACGTCACACGCAGATTGTTACTAATAAATGAGGGAGAACAGTTGGAAAAGTAGGAGCAATTGACCTTTTTCATTCACATTTCAAAAACACTTTTAAATTCAGATACATTTAGATACATAAGTATCTAGGGATCATTCTGTCACATGACCTACGATGGGACGCTCATATTCATTACATCACATCATCTGCACTGAAAAGACTGTTATTTATAAAAAGGTGATTACAGCAAGCACCACCACACATAAAGTTACTGGCCCACAATATACTTATACGACCCATCCTGGAGTACGCAAACACTGCCTGGTTCCCGTACACAAAAAAACTAACCAGCAAGCTCGAAGGTGTTCAACGAAAAGCGCTTAGGGTCATCTTTAACAAATTTAACCAAACAGATTCACCTACGGAGCTGCTTAAAAAGGCTGGACTACTGACCATAAAAAACCGGGCGATATTGGCACGCTTAAAGCTAATGTACCAACTGTTACATGGTCAACTAAACATAGACAAGTCCCGCTACATAAAGCTATCCGCAGCTAGAACTACCCGCCACAAATACTCTCATACCCTTGCCCCTTACAGATTTCACACAGATGCCTTCAAATTATCGTTCTTCCCGCTTGCGATCAGAGAATGGAATAACCTGTCCCCCTCCATTACCAGTAGCACATCCTTAGCCACTTTCACAAAACTAGTAGAAAAGCGACTTGATAGCCTCGCAAACATAATATGGTGCTATGAGATCTTTCTTGTTATTTAAGTAAAGTGCCAATATAATTGTATTTTGACAAATGTGCTTATATGTCTTATTTTTTGTTGTTGTTTTGTTATTTTTTTCTTATTATTTTTCTCTCTCTATTGACTGTACTTAATCACTGCCTTATATTGTCCACCTGTTATAATCCCTCTGGGATTGACAGTATCTATAAATAAATAAATAAATAAATAAATAAATAAATAAATAAATAAATAAATAAATAAATAAATAAATAAATTGGGAAGAAGAAGATGTGCCTGCAGCGAGCAGCATCGCCAACGCCCGGCTCTCTCGGCTCGTGCTTCGGTTCGTTGCTGTGCCGATCGCTGGACGGTTCTTCACGCTGTCTCGTCGCTGTCTTTAACGGCTAATAAACCTCCTCACATTTGGTGGAAGGTGCTGTTAATCCCCGTTGCTACACCCTGGAGCTGCGAAGCCGCACGCTACCACCTGTCATGACTGCCAACGCCACTACATCGACGCATTCGCTCCAGTTCAACTGCCCTGGCAATTTTACGCTACGGGAGCCGATGGTCTTCAGCGGTGCGGATGGGACCGACGTCGAAGACTGGGTCGAGCACTACGAACTGGTGAGCGCCAACAATAAGTGGGACGAAGCCGACAAGCTGGGCCACGTGATATTTTATCTCACTGGCATCGCCGAATTGTGGTTTAATAACCACAAACACCACATCCCCACATGGAGCGTCTTCAAGACGTCATGTGCTGAAGTGTTCGGTCGGCCGGCTGTCCGCAAGCAGAGGGCATAACAGCGCTTGCGCGTCCGCTCTCAGCAGACTGGCGAGACCTTTACCAGCTATATTGAGGACGTCGTCGACCTTTGTCGACGTGTGAATGACACCATGCCCGAATCTGACAAGGTCAAAAACATCCTGAAGGGCATCGACGACGGCGCATTTCAAATGCTCTTGGAAAGGAATCCAAGCACAGTTTCTGAAGTCGTCAGCTTGTGTCAGAGCTACGACGAGTTGAAGAAGCAACGCACTCTGACTAGGCAGCCTCAACCTGGTGGTGAGTCGCTGTCCGGTTTAGACTCCATGCCCGACAATTCACCATTGCTTCAGCAAGTCCGAGCCTTCGTCCATGAGGAAGTCGCCCGCCAACTTTCCCTAGTGCCCTTTACTCACGACACCACCACCCGTCTACCTGCCCCGCTTCGCACTGCTATATCGGAAGAGGTTGCACAAGCTGTTCCTCTTGCACACTACGAGCCACCTCTATCAAGCCGTGGTCACTGCCCGGGTGTCGCACAGCCGGTAGGCGCTCCTGTCGCCTATCCGCCAGCCGTTCAGCCTGTGGCCGCGCCCCTAACCTATGCAACGCAGCCTGTGGCTCCTCCGGTCGCCTTTTCGCAAGAGATGCAGCCCGTAGCCGCGCCGCTCACATATGCAGACGCTGTACGTAGGCTCTCGCAACCACCCTACACCACGCGCTCACAGCCCGCACACCCGGCTGCTTATACTGCACCTTGGGCGGCAGCACCAGTCGCCAACCCCTGGAGGACGCCCGATAACCGACCAATTGCTACGCTTGCTTCACTCCCGGACACGTTGCTCGTTACTGCCGCCGTCGACCTGAGACGTTCGGCAACTATGCCCGGTCTTCGCATCCCGGCAGCCAACCCTTCGTCCAATACGGGCCGGTCTCGCCACCTCGCTATGCGCCTCCTGACCACCTTGACTTCCAGCCGCAACGCGCACCCTCTCCTCGTCGGCGATCGCCCTCCCCCATGCGTCGCCGGCCCGGACCCTGCGACCAGGAAAACTAAGCAACGCATTTCAAGAGGCAACAACTGCGCCGTTTTCGAACTTAGACTGTCTAAGCCCTCGCTCTTCTCCTCCTAACGTGGTCGCAGTAACTGTTGAAGGTTATTGTACTTTCGCCCTTGTGGACACTGGCGCCGCTGTTTCTGTTATTGCCGCTAATCTCTGCCGTTTATTACACAAAGTAATGACGCCGCTTTCGGGACTGTCGCTTCACACCGCAAGCGCACAGTAAGTAACGCCTCTCGTAGCCTGCACTGCAAGAGTCTCCATCGAAGGCATTCTTTACATCGTGGAGTTTATTGCTCTTCCTGTCTGTTCGCATGACGTCATCCTCGGGTGGGACTTCCTATCCCGCCATAATGCCGTCATAGACTGCGCACGCGCCGAAGTTGAGTTTTCACCCTTGTGTGATGTCCCATTACTGGACGCTCCTCATCAGCCGCCGAAGTTGCTCGTTCATGAAGATACCGATATTCCGCCTGGAAATTTCGCCCTTGTTCCCGTTTCATGCAACGCCTACACTGACGCTACAGTTCTTTTTATGCCTTCCGATATCTTCAAATGTCGTCGAGCTTTGCCGCTGCCTTTCGCAACAATTGACCTTGCCGCCGGAAGAAGCAACATGTTCGTAAGCAATCCGCTTTCCACACCTGTCACATTGCTTGCGGGGGAATGTCTCGGCCGCGTGCAGAATCTCGACCCTTCGTTTTTGTTTGATGTCCCGGACGACTACTGTGACCACCCAAAAGCACTGTCTCCACTCGGGGAGTCGTCCAATGATACGTTTTCCAGCGCCATCGCCGACACTCTCACTCCCACCGAACATGCCGACCTGCTGGATCTTCTGCATGAGTTCAGGAGTTCGTTCGATGTGTCGCAACCTCAACTGGGCCGCACATCACAAGTCAAACATCATGTTGACACCGGCCTACACCAACCACTGCGTCAAAGACATACCGTGTCTCCGCTGAAGAGCGCCGCGTCATCAACGATCAAGGCGAAGATATGCTTCGTAGAGACGTCATTCGACCATCTCACAGTTCCTGGGCGTCTCCCGTCGTCCTGGTGCGTAAGAAAGACGGATCTATCCGATTTTGCGTGGACTTTTGTCGTTTGAATAAGATAACCCGCAAGGACGTCTATTTTTTGCCGCGCATTGATGACGCCATTGACACCCTTCACGGAGCGGAATTTTTCTCGTCGCTAGATTTGCGGTCAGGCTACTGGCACGTCCCAATGGCACAAGCCGATCGCCAAAAAACGGCATTTATTACACCAGACGGACTATATAAATTTAACGTCATGCCCTTCGGGCTTTGTAACGCGCCTGCCACGTTTGAACGTCTTATGGATAATACGCTACGTGGCCTCAAATAGAATATGTGCCTCTGTTACCTCGACAATGTCGTGGTTTTCTCCCATGACTTTCCTACGCACCTACTTCGCCTCAGGCACGTTTTGAGTTGTCTGGCCAACGCTGGTCTGCAGCTTAACCTGAAAAAATGCCGCTTCGCTGCACACGAGCTCGTCATCCTAGGCCACATCGTGTCCAAGCATGGCGTATTACCAGACCCAGCAAAACTTCGAGCAGTCGCAGAATTTCCCAAGCCGACAACCATGAAAGAACTTCGCAGTTTTGTAGGCCTATGCTCCTATTTCCGGCACTTTGTTCACAATTTTGCATCTATCATGTCACCGTTAACCCAGCTTCTTCGCGGTGACGTGAACCTCACCTCCTGGTCCCCTGCATGTGACGTTGCCTTCACTACTCTGCGCCGTCTGCTCACTTCCCCACCCATTCTTTGCCACTTTGACCCGACGGCTCCTACCGAAGTGCACACCGACGCCAGCGGCGTCCGGCTAGGCGCGGTCCTCGCTCATCGAAAGCCCGGCTATTCAGAATACGTTGTAGCCTACGCTAGCCGCACTCTGACGAAAGCCGAATCTAATTACAGCGTGACAGAAAAAGAGTGTTTGGCTCTAGTGTGGGCGCTTGGAAAGTTCCGGCCGTACTTATACGGCCGCCCGTTCGATCTAGTAACTGATCACCACGCGCTTTGCTGGCTCTCCACGTTGAAAGACCCTTCTGGCCACCTTGCGCGATGGGCACTCCGCATCCAGGAGTACGACATTCGCGTCGTATACCGCTGCGGACGCAAACACTCTGACGCTGATGCCCTGTCCCGCTCACCTTTACCACCAGATCAGACGTGCGGAAACACTTGCCTCCAGACCTTGTCATCGCTAGATCTCGACTCGATTGCCACCGAACAACGTTGTGACCCGTGGATCGCCTCTCTTATCGAATATTTATCTGGCACACCCAGCCTTCCAGTATCTCGATCCCTCCGACGTCAAGCTTTCCATTTCGCCATCCGCGATCAACTTCTTCATCGACGCAACTACGCTCCCGATGGCCGCCGGTGGTTGCTGGTCATTCCACGCACTTTACGATCGCAAGTATGCGCCTTCACGACGATCCACAATGTGGCCACGTCGGAGTGTTCAAAACATATGAACGCCTTCGCCATCGCTATTACTGGCGCGGCATGTACAATTTTGTACGTAAATTTGTGCTGTGCTGCCCTGACTGCCAGCGACGTAAATCAACACTGCCACGTGCGACTGGCGCATTGCAGCCACTTCCATGCCCTGCCAAGCCATTTGATCGCGTCGGCGTTGACCTCTACGGTCCCCTTCCATTGACACCAGATGGTAATCGGTGGATTATAGTGGCGGTTGACCACCTGACACGCTACGCCGAAACAGCCGCTTTGCCGAGCGCTACAGCTCAGGATGTCGCCTCTTTCATTTTGCAACGCTTTATCCTTCGACATGGTGCACCTCGAGAGCTCCTTAGTAACAGAGGCCGCGCTTTCCTTTCCGAGGTCGTCGAAACTCTGCTTTCGGAATGCCACGTCATTCATCAGAAAACGACAGCAAACCACCCGCAGACTAACGGACTAACGGAATGGTTCAACCGCACGCTATGTGATATGCTCTCAATGTACGTGGCATCTGATCATAGCAACTGGGACCGTGTTCTCCCATACGTCATGTTCGCATATAACACCGCAATACAAACCACCACGGGATTCTCACCTTTCTTTCTTCTTTACGGACGTGAGCCTTCCCATACAATCGATACCCTACTTCCTTACCGTCATGATGCTTCCGAGTGTCCACCTATCTCCGATGCTGCTAGACAAGCCGGAGAGTGCCGCCAGCTCGCCCGTGCGTTCACCTCGGAAGAGCAACAACGCCAGAAAGAAACCCGTAGCACCTCTCTTCCGGATCCCAGCTATGCCCCAGGGTCTCTTGTGTGGCTTGCCATCCCATACCAAACACCGGGACTCTCCTCGAAACTTGTCCTCCGGTACAAGGGGCCTTACACCGTTTTGGAGAAAACCTCTCCAGTTAATTTCCTAATTAAACCAGTTTCCCGACCGGACGACATGCGCCGGCGTGCACGTGGCATCGTCCGTGTTTCCCGACTGAAACCGTACCATGAGCCTTTGCCTGACACTTCTTAAGTCGCCAGGATGGCTCCTTTTTCAGCGGGGGCGATTGTGAAGAAGAAGATGTGCCTGCAGCGAGCAGCATCGCCAACGCCCGGCTCTCTCGGCTCGTGCTTCGTTTCGTTGCTGTGCCGATCGCTGGACGGTTCTTCACGCTGTCTCGTCGCTGTCTTTAATGGCTAATAAACCTCCTCACAAAATATATAAATAGATATTTAAATGAATAAATAAATAAATCAATAAAAATAAATAAACAAATAAATAAATAAAATAAAAATAAATAAAATATGTGTATTCAGCATAAATGGTGGAAAGGAGCAAAAAACGCACCCAATGAACTATCTCAATACTAAATATTTTCGAAAAATCTCCAGAGTTTGTCTTTAACGCTCCATATTATCGACAATATTATTACATTGAAACTATTGCAAACAATTTGACACCTACGAAAGACGTGAAAACATACAGACTCAGAAACCTGATTACTTTCAACGTCTCTGGCTGGCTCTTTCCAGCTGTCAATGACGCGTTCTCTTTCGCAAATGTTTTACAATAGGCACAAAAAGTACGACGCAGTCATTAGGCACAATGTAACTGTCAATAATGTGTGGCTTACGCTGAGGGAATCTGTGACGAAATACGGCTTAGTCACTCCGTTGTTTTGTTCGCAGTCTTCGGTGAAACAGAGGAACAATGTGTCCACTGTCACCTGCAAATAAATGATATTGCTTTTTCGGTGATCTCGCTTAAAGTACAGATGAATATGTTTTGACAACCTTGGGAAGTCAAGTTCTAGTATAAAGCGCTACAAGTAGCCTAAGGGACACACTTCGAATATTATGCACTAAAACTGATGGCGTTGGCGAGTTGTCTGTATTGTGACACGTGAGCGACAGGCGTTTTAGGGGCGAAGCTTCTTATAGCGGCACCCGTTCATCCCCCGCAGTATGTAACAAGTATAACATTTTGACCTGCAAGGTGGTGCCGGTGAGAGACTTCTTCTGTGCGTTGTTGAACAATAAAAAAATAGTGCTAAATGTACATGTCAATGGCTGCTAATGGGGAATGAGAGACAGGAGCATTCGGCTTTTAGTTAACGCGCAGGCTGCGATCACCATTAGCAGCCATTGGCATGTACATTGAGCACTATCTGACAAGAAAGGGTTGCTTCGTTATACTCGCTGGGTGTAACCTCCTTAGCTTTAGGAAGGTTTAGCGAGCGTTGAGCCGCAGTGCCATGAATACAATGAACTTGTATATACCATGAATGAACTCGAGGTGGTTAAAGGTGGGAAGTAGATACGAAGCGCAAGCCGTAAGAAAGTAAAAGCCGAATTCTCCGCCTCTCATTTCCCATTAGCAGCCATTGACATGTACATTGAGCACTATCTGACTGAAAAAGTTTGCTACGTCATACTCGCTGGGCGTAACCTCCTTGGTTTTCGAAAGGTTTAGCGAGCGTTCGGCCGCAGTGCTATGAATACAGTGAACTAGTATACACCATGCACTCGAGGTGGTTAAAGGTGGGAAGGGGACCCGAAGCGCAAGCCGTAAGAAAGTGTGCGTGTGCCACCTCTCGTTTAGTCCTTGGAATGTCCGCTGGATGGCGGTGCTTCTATATGGGGAATATATGATGAAAAGATGCGAGATGGTGGTACTTGGAGTGTTGAATAGATGGACGAACGGACACATAGACAGATGCATGGATGGACGCATGAACGGACGCAGGGGCGGCTGCATGGACGAACGCAGGGATGGACGCACGAACAGACGCACGCACGGACGGGCTGATGGACGCATGGACGGTCACACTGACGGACGCATAGACGGACGGAAGCAAGAACGAATGGACGGACGAATTCTTCGCCCCACTCTCCATCATTCACTCCGTGGATATGCTGCCATATTTTTTACATGCTTGCTCAATGAACAGGGACGCGTGCTAAAATTTTCAGTCGTAAGAATATCATTTGGTACCTTACCAATGGGTGCGCAAAGTGTTCAGCATTGACTTGAGAATAAAAAAAAAACTATGCCATTTGATCGCAATTTTAACGCGTGACAGTGTTAAAGTGCTTGTTTCAAAAAAAAATAATAATTCCGGCATCGGGGCCGGCATCGTTGGTTGTGAGCGAAAATTATCATCGTGTCCGTGACTGAAAAACTGGGAAATATGAAAATAAAGTTTATAAATTTTTTTTTCGTTCGAGTGAGAATTTAACCCAGGCCGTCTGTGCGTGGCAAGCAGGTGTTCAACTACACAGCCACGCGATTTGTTCAAAATCTTCTGAAAAAAAAACGCAACATGAATGTCATGTTGGGAAGTAAGTCGCCTTAGCGCATGGTATATTGCGTGGCGAAAGCGTAGAATCACGCCAAGTGGTAAAATAATTGAATTGGTCAATGAGTGCATGTTATATAGGCCCACCTATTACAAAGCTACTGAGCTTAATTAATCATCATCCGCGGCAGAAGCGTCAACAAGGTAAACAACTGCGTAGGGTTCACATGCTGCCTTACAGACGCGTATAGTGGGGCATTCGCTGATTCACAAGAGAAATAACTATGGCATAGTCAGAACTTAACAACTCTGCTTGCAATAAGCATTCATTGACACTTTCGTTAGAGAAGACATTGCAACAGAAGGCGACAAAAGCTCTGTTGAAATTCCTACGCGACACGGACTTGAAAAAGGGGCTGTAATAGCAATGTCACACACCACGAAAGACAAGACTGGACAATGACTGAGTGTGCGTGCGTGTGCTGCCGAATGTGCTGTGTTTATCTCTATTCCCTCTCTGCTCTTTATCTTTCATCTCCCCCATCTTTCTCACATGTGCAGGGTAGCAAACCGGCTGCCTATAGGCTGGTTAACCTCCCTGCTGTTCTTTTCCTCCTATTTTCCTTCGTTAGTATGTGCTAGAACAGGGAGTGCCCCGGACGAGCTTTTAAAATTGATGTCCAAACAGGCGTCGTGCTATTTGGCGCAACTATCGCTATAGTCCGCGGTCTGCCGTCGTTACAAGAGTTGCGAGCGGCTTTACCAAGGTGGTGTAGAGGTAGAATGTGCGCTTCCCGCTCTAAACACCAGGTTGCAATCACAGCTGTAGATGGATGTTGATTTGTTTTTATTTTTAGTGTAAATTGTGATAGTAACACTGTTTTTCTTTGTTTCTAAAAGCTATCGTTGATAGGTTTGTATTGAGAGAAAATGGGACTGGAAACGTGAAGGAAAACCGAATGAATTTGACAGTAAGCGTGATAATTTGCAGCGCCACGACGTGGCAGTCAACTATGACATAAAGTGCGGTTCTGAGATCTTTGCAAATACGAGGAACATCAGAGGCCATTTTTTAACGTTTGTTTGAATGCCGTGCGGCGGCCCGACAGAGCCCTCCACTTTCAGTGTAATTTGCTTTACAGTGCTCACCTCGTACACAGATATGCAAGAATCAGCTATGTAGTAGGAAATGCATCCTGCTGCAATCAAAGGAGCCCAGATGTACACAGTCGTCTGGGTTTCCTGAAAAATAGTCGAAAAAAAGTGTCATCTTCGCTAACTCTAGAAACCTAAACACAGATTTTAAAATTGAAGCACCTTACAACACAGTTTACATGACAACGCAGAGAAAAAAGATTGTTTGTAGGACCTGAAGTAACAGCTGTATGTTTACCCTATAGACTTTGTCCTTAACAGGCACCCGGAAGTGTGTAGATGTGACATCATCTAAGCTCCTAAAAGAAAACATTCGCAAGGTGCCCACAGTCACTCGGCCAGTTGCACAGTCTCCGTCAATCTACGGTTATTGCAGTACCTTGTAATGCTGAAAAAAACTGTCCCGACGTCTCACATGTGAAAACTACAGAATATAGAATTGAGTGGTGTGCAGTGCCTTGTGAGTTAACCCTGACCCTGAGAAAGCTATGGGCATGCCGAGTTCTGCGACGTGTTTATAGTGTATGGTTGTCCAGAGTTTGCTTTCAAGGCTACTACGGATACGGTAGCTACTTGACACCGATTTTAGGGCAGTGGCAAGGGCTGGGTGTAACCAGATTTCATGACAGTGTTGTACAAGAGCAAATAATATATCTATCGCACCTGCTATTGTGTACTCAAACAGTGTATGTTTCCGCAATAATGCGACACATCGTAGTGGGTGTCCTACACTATTCTTACCATTTGGCAATAAAGTTTTAGTTTTAGACTACCAGAGGTCAAGTACGACGCGGCTGAGATTGAACCATTGAGCTCAGAGAAGTAACGTTTTGGCCATTAATATCGTGAAGAGTAGGCAAAAATGCTACGGGTGTCGTTATACGTAAATGCTAGCACAATAACGAGCCTTTCGAACATACGCATCTCATTTTTTCTTCACAACTAAAGCACGATATACGATCCATTGCCACAAACATTGGCGCGAATTTCTACTTTGGGGATGTGCACTGCAACTACAACCACAAGAAAAAATTGCCACAAACATTGGCACGAATTTCTACTTCGAGGATGTGCGCTGCAACTACAACCACAAGAAAAAAAAATAGGCGCAGAAGATTAGGGTCATTTTCCTGTTTCACAATTTCCCATGCCGATGACGATGGTGATAGAGTTTTTTTATGCGAGTGAGGAAAAAAAAACACTTACTGTAACGTTTTGCGTATGCCTTCGTGAATGTTGTCTCACCTTTATGATCCAAAGACCACTGAACACTGCCAGTAGGGCCGTGTTGAATTTGGCTAAGAATAGTAAGAACCCTGTGACGGTGTCAAGTCCCGCCACCTGCTGGCAGTGTCGTCCAAGCAGCCTTAGTGCCCTCCGGCCGCTGGTACGGAAGCTGAGGCCATGTATCGCTGCAACCACACAGGTAAGAACGTGCAGTGCACAGATATTTGACAAGAAATACGCAATGCTTGCAGATCGATTTGGTGTACCGAGGTGTAGATTCCTCCACAATGTTAAGCTTAAAGCAAACTCTCACATGATGTGCGAAATCTGTGACAATGAGGATACATATCACACGGAGTACAGATCGACTACTGGTCACTACCCGACAGCTTATTCATTATAAACTGATGCTGAAAGAACCAACTTTGATGTGTTGGAAAGAGCAAACAAGGCATTATTCTTGACCGAACCTTGTCATAGGTATCACGCATTCACGGCCTATAAAAACAAGACAACACAGGTAGAAACGTATATATACTTCGCGGACTCGATGGACAACCATTACAAAGTGGGGCAGAGGGGACGTGTGTTGGTGTATCAGTCCATTCAGCAGAAAAATTCACGAAGCACTCATCAAACAAAAGAAATGTCTATTAAGAACCACGTGCCTAGCTTATCGCGTGCTGTCGTTTATCAGCCGGGCCATCGACGGAGTGAGTCCGCGCAGCCACCACGCCGGGTCTGCACGCCGCTCGTGCCGAGCGCGAGTACCTAAACTATACGGAGACACCAATCGACTGTCACGTCAGAAGCAGACAATGCACGCCAACACCCTCAGGGGATTCGCACCTAGAATGGCCTATTCGGCACCTATGCTGCACCGCTCATCGCAGCCTTCGGAGGAGCATCTTCAACGTTTACTGACAGGGAGTTTGGGGGTTTGGCCAGGCGTGCCGCATGCAACCTCGAGTTTTCTTGTGATCGTGGAAACTCGTCCCCGGCGATTATCAGTCCCACGAACGGTCGAGACTTACCAACACGTTTATCGTACTTCAACTCAGCACGAGAAGCAAACACTGGGCTTCGTGACTCCGCGAAAGAAACAAACTACAAATCCACAACACTGTTCAAAAAGACAAAAAGCACTGAAGCTCATAAAAGACGCATCGAAGAATAATTCAGTTCTCTTATGTATTTCTGTAAGCATTTACCAAGAAGCTAAATAATACGTTTTAATGAGCACATTACAATAATACCAACTTTGAAGTATGCACAGTGCGTGTTAAGTTTTTGGCTGCTAGCAAGACAAAAAATACAGTTATCAGTCGAGGGCACAGCAACTAAATGGGATATGCTTATGATATTCGTGCAGCAGCGGGGATTTTGTCGTTATTTCGGCAGTACCTAGGAGTGAATACAAACCGCCTGCGTCTGGCATCGCTACGAAGCAACGATGAAAGGTCTCCAAGTTTCGTGTCATTGTACGACGCTTTGAAGAAGCGCAAAAAGGCAAGAACAGTAAAACGGAGAGCTGCAATTCAACGGATGCTCATTGGAACATTCGTGGTAACCCGACAGTGGACGGAGCTGCAACTCAGACATAATATTACGTAGATATAAGCATAACCTTTCCAACAATAATATCGCTCAGTTCCTTGCACAGCTATCCTGTAGTCCCAGAAGAACAAATGGCTCAATGAAAAAATGGAGCAATTCGGAGTTATCAGTGGCAAGATCAACGAGTGACAACCTTGTTCTTCTTCCATCCACTTCCGATCGAGCACTTACTTTCGGTTTTCTAAATTCAGAAGAAAGTATTAAGAATATTAAATTGAAACCTAATCGACGGCTCTGGAAGAAGTGAAGAGCGGTATTGGACACTCATGATATCGGTGTATACGATATTGTGTACATGCGATAAAGGTCAGCATAATCATTGCAAGTTTACAAAATGTGCTCACCGAAAGTGCTAACGGTTTTATCGTGAACAGCTGGATTTGTGGTGATACTCAGCTTAGTAGACTGAAACAACAAGCTCATTACTGCGCGGCCTCTGAGATGACGTTCTCATGAGACATATAGATATTTAACCTGAAAAATCTTCTCTTTCGTGTAAGTGCACGGGATGCTTAGTTTCGCCTTTACTACTTGTTTCTGGTACAAAACACACATCAACTTAATAAAACTGATTCAACTTCCTTTAACTGCGCAGCTCGAGCAATAACTGTGTGTACTCTATTACATGTGTAGTGCTGTTTATTTCAATCACCGCAGTGTTTTTTCAACGCTGGTGGTCATCTCAAATACAGTGCTCATTTAATTTTATAGTTGACCTTGTGCCTGTTTATTGCAAATATTCGTTTTTTTGCCTTTTTTTATCTTCTGAAAGCCTGTACGTACTTTTCCTTTTTTCATTGTGTTGCCAATCGGTACACTTAACAAATGTGTATCCATTCTGCTAAAACCCTCTTTGAGGGTTGCAGTATTGGTAGATAAAAAATAAAATAAAAAAACCTAATAAGACTTGTCCAGCTGAAGGCCAAGCATTATGTCTTGGTAAGCATATGATTCATTCGTCGCTTCGGTAATATAAATGCTTCTATGAGTACGTTCTCTTTGTACATTCTCACAGCACGAGGTACCTTAGGCTTGCGAAGACAATAGACGAACGTGGTAATACTGAATGCGTGCTCACCCATTACAATGTAGGCCTTGCGGTTGAGGTGCATGAGAAATCGATCGAGGCAGCTACAACACGGCCTCAGAAACTTCGCAACCGATGATCCTGCTTGCGTTTTATCATTGAAGCTGAAAAAGAAAACATTTCTTCAGCTGTTTAAAAGATATTCTAGGCCCATTTGGCTTTAGGTACAGGAGATAAAAAAAACAGAAAAATATGCATTAGTATTCAGGAAACATAACATCATGGTTCTGTTCTCAATGTAACAAATCAATACATCGGACAATATCAATGATCTTATACGGCTGAGCAATGACAATAACAGTGCTTATCATTACACAAGAGAACGCAGACAAACTGAACTTAAAAGTTCGAGCTATCGATTGACAGGGAGCTATGTTTTATTTCAATTTTTTTGTACTTATCAGCGACTTTCACCTACAATAGCCACACGCACAATTTGATACGCAAAAAAGGTACAAATTATGAGCCTTTTGAAGCTATAGTAGGACAATTTTACTCTAGCTTCCTCATGTTCTATTCGTATATAGCTTTCATGAAGACATATGAGGTTCACGGTCATGGGTCTTCATGTTCATTAGAATAGATAACAAAGAACCACCAGCTACGTATTCAGAGAGTCGAGGAGTCAAGCTATGCGATAGAAAAAGCTGAGCCGGTGTCGAACTGTACTAAAAGTTTATTAATTTCTCCAATAAGCTTACAGGCATCTGGCCAACACAAGGCGCGGGCAGCTCACTGTACGTGAACTATGTTTATGCGGAACTAAAAACACACTGATGCGAAGAGCAAAGGAAGATGGTGGCATGAAGAAGCATAGGTTTGTTTAATCAATAGCTCGCAGAAGACAAAAAGCTATATACTCAGCATATACTGCTGAGGTAAAAATCATCCCAAACAAAAAATAGTAGGCAGGTGCTTCATTCTTTAGATAGCATTACTTCAATTTAATATGGTCCTTAATCTCAAGGAAAGTGCACCGCACTATAAGCGATGATATCATCTTCACTGAAACCTTGGTTTCCTGGAGCTGCCTGTGCTTACTCACTCACACGAGGCGCGAGCCAGAGATGACTGCCCTCAGAGGATCAGCGACGATGAGTACGAGCGAGCCATAGATGATTGAGCCCAGATGGTAGCCAACCAGGAGTTGCATGCTCCGCACCACTGGAGCGCTGATGTGAGTCTTGTGCCTGCGCTGGCATACAATCAGAGAGCGAAAATAGTGCCCTGGCGATGTCACGTTAAAAATCGTTCTTCACGTAGAAGTGCTCATATTAGGGCCAACGAAGCCTGGTGAGAATTTATGTTTAGAAAAAGTGGCTAACGATTTAGAATACAAAGCACTCTACTATAGGAGAGCCCGAAGCCGTCCCGTGGGCTTCACATTTCATAAGGCCTTGTCGCCCCGAGGGATTTTATTTCTACTAATATTTACAAAGGGAACGCTAATGAAGGGCGAAGCATTGAGCATCGAATCATGAGCTGTGGCCTTCTGTTTTTTCCTGGTTAAAAACTTTTTGTTTTGTTCTTGTTACCCTTTATTTCCTTCGTATGCTTTGATAGATGGGTTATTAATTGTCGGTGTTTTTCTGGTGTTGTTGCCTTTTATTTTGGTAATTCTGGTTAACAGCTTTTTGATAACCGTTTGTTGTTCGAAGATGTCTTGGTTTCTACATTCGCTGTAAACAACGCGTGGTGGTTTATGGATGGAGGGACATTTTCTGGTCTTAAGGTGGTGCTTCAGCCCTTATTTTTTTAGCTTAGTCAAACCTAGTCACTGGTCACGCGTAACTGAGAGAAAAGACGAGCAGAAAAAAAGAAGGCAAATAAAATGGATGACCATTTCTCGTCTCATTTCTTAGATGGCATTACTCTGCCGCTACTCTCCGATCAGCTGCTGCGCGCGCTTTGCCTGAGTGCGCGGAGAACGAGTGTCTCTCTCAATCTCCTGGATAGTTGCCGTACGTGGCGGATCGTTGGTGGGTCATGGATGAAGTAGAGCAGCGGGCGCGTTGAAGACGCCTTCGCTCGGCTTCATTTGCTCGCGTCTCGTCGGTGTTACCCGCACGCCATCTGTATTCTCGAACGCGATCGGACGCACGCACGGACGGATGAACACAGAGATGAATGGACGGAAAGACGCTTCGCCCCACTCATAATCATTCACTTTGTGAATATGCTGTGAATTTTTTCGTTATTCATCATCACCTTTTCCACTGACGTCGGTGCGGCTTTTATATCTCACTGCTCATAGAAAAGCATTTCTAAACTTTTCTCACACAATAAAGAAAAAATGCATGCAGTGGCTCGTTTCACTGTTAGACAGAACCTCAGGTTGTAAACAAACAATGGTGCCAAGGAAGCCACCGGGAACAGTATTTGCAGCGTGCAACCATAGTCAGCAATTATTGCATTAAAATGAGGATGAAGAAACAATTTGCCCTCCGCATTAATTCAACCTAGGGACTCGAGAGGTGTCCGTTGCTGTACTTATTAACTAATGATGTTTTGAGAATGCCCAGATGTAGCTCGAACCGATGTTATAATACACAAAATGCGTTTAGATAGTGTAGTCTACATATAAAGCTTCTTGAAGCACACTTTGAGAGCAATTTGCGCTTGTCACTGGTGATACATTGTTCGCATTTGCAAATTCGCGAGCTGTTAAAACAAAAATGTCATGAAACGACACATTTATTCGACCAGTTAGCCATCGCCCCAAGACCAATGCGCTGCTTAGATGAAGCGGGGCAGTATGTTGTAGTGCGAAATATAGACTAGTTACCACTGACACTTCTTAAATCTCAATTGCGAGGTTTAATTAGTTGTTGTCTATTGAGCATTCCAACAGCATGCGCTGAGCAAGACTTGTCTGTGGCTAGAATAGCATACGTTCCTCTGCCAAAGTAAAAGAAACACAGAACTCGTCAAGCCGTTAGAGTTTTTTGTGAGTGTTCCTGTTATCTGTATGCCGTGTAGAGATGCGAAAATAAAGTTAGTGTTAAAATACGAAAGAAAAGACGCATTGTAATTCCTCTCGGAAAACGGGGCAGTTCCGATACCCATTGTTTGCTTCACGGAAAGAGAGATGGCTGTATATTTGGAGGATCGTACGTGTGTGGCACAATGTACGCCTGAAAACACGGGGTCACACGCCGATGGCAGCTCACGCGTCCGTACTATACAGTCTCCCTGCTGCATCGCTGAGCATGAAACTGCTTTTCAAGCGTTACGCAATCACATATTCAATCGACTTTCTAAGCAGTTGTGCCTGATTTAACAGCTTGCGGTGGCCTCTTATGCTGATGTACGTCGATGAGGCCCCGAATGAAAAAAAAATACGATGGTTCACTCACTTGGTGAAGTACCAGGTAGCGATGGCACTAGCCACGACGAAGTTCTGGCAGCTGAGGACAATGTTGGCCAACCACAGGAAGAAAATTACATAGGGTGGGCACATGGTCTGCCTCAAATACAGAATTGAAAAAAGAAAACTCATTAGATAAGAATGTCCATGACGATGTTCCATCATGCGATACGCGTACGCCGTTGACAAGATCATCAGCCAATACACACCTAAAATACTCACGTGGCCTTTTCGCTAGTGATGCTAATAATAACTAAAGAGAGATAAAGTGCGGCCCATTTGCTCACATGTTGCTTGATGACATACTTGATCCCCTATGGAATGGTTTTACTCTAATAGGTTTCATCTGCCTAGCAGAATTAGTACAATTTTTCAGCGAGTACACGTCACCGCTAATGTAATTTGCCTTTTGTCCCGAAGAAACACTCATAGGGATAGTTCGTGAAGGCCGCAGTTGCCGGCGAATACGTTGTATGAGTTTGATTGCGTAGCCCTAACTAATAAAAGTGGCTGAAAAATAAAACAGAGTTTTAATGAGAACACATGAATCTGTAACATTCTTAAATCATGATTTTCATCATCAACTGTAACATATAGTCGAACCCCGTCACCACAATACTCAAGTGCCCCGAAATTTCATTTGTTATGATCGACAATACCTATAAAATGTTGCACAAAAAAGTCACAGTTTCAGTAAAGGCTGAAGCAATGAATGCGATAGCAACCCATCAAGCCGTTATACGAAGTAAGGCTAGGAGATTTAGGAACCATACTGGAGGCACACCGTACGGAAGTTTTGCAAACGGAAGTTGCGTGCAAAGCATATAACGTGCAACTTACCAGAAAAAAATTGTCCGTATCGAAGCCTACGGTACGCTGCTTAGCGTCATCTATAAACGGATGCACAACTGAAAGCATGGCGACCAGACCGAGAAGCCAGAACCCGGCGATCACCACAATCACCAAGGCCGCCTGTGTTGCATAAAAAAAAAGATCATCAAAAGCCAGAAGAAGACGAAATATTACTGCAATATTCTTTTTTTTGCACGTTGACAGGATATGCTGGTGTATGTTATTTCTGCCTTATTCTCAAAATAACATTTCTTAAAATTTTATGTACCTTATCTTAGGGAATTTTTATGTAGTTTTTCTTTGTGTGTAATTGGAATGATACGCATATAGCGCATTTCAACAAAATATACATATGTAGAAAACCTGAAAATGAGGTAAAAAGAACATTAAACACAATTCAAAACTATTCTTGAGCCCCGTTGCAACCTGGGTGTAGGCTACGTCTGAGCTACCTTGCAAAGTTTGAAGCTATAGCTTTGATTAAAACTGCCGTGCAGACAATTTTCGAAATTCGCTTTCAAAGTCTTGTCATTCCACACCTTGAGTAAAAATCTCTGTGATGTGCACCTGTTGTGGTATAAGCAGCTAGGGCGTTGTGGTGTTAAGCGCAAGAACGGGTCATAACGACCATTTCATGGTCATAACGATTCTACGGGGGTGAAAAAAAGCAACAGTAACAATAATTCACATAAAAATAATAATTATAATGTTGGAGCGGCTTTGCGTACAAAAACCATATATGATAAGTATGATTGACAGATTACACTTAAAATGGATAATTCCGGTACTTGCTATCAGGGAATCACAATATTGTTTGAAGTGTCGCGCATAATATATTCTGTCAATGCCCATTAATTAAATTGTGATTGGCTAGATCTAAACTATCAACGAAATTAGCATACTTTGAGAGCACAATAAACAATACAAAATTGATGACAGTGCCAATGTGAGCTTGTTGGTGTAGCATGGTGATTGATGTAAAAAAAAGCAAAAGTTCGGGAAACATTAGAGCTTAAATATAAGGAAAATTCCGCGTGTCAAAAGGTCGACTCCAGTAACCTACCGTGTTCACGAACTGATTGTGCTTGAAGGTATCGTGGGCTAAAGCCGGCACTTCAATTAGCCGATCGCAGATTTTAGCTGGCTTTAGCCTTTGTGATTTGTCTTTAGACTGAACTTCCATCAAGTAGATCACAAAGTTGTTTAGACCATTGTAACGTATTAGTATTTTTAAAAATTTTGTAACAGTTTGTTAGATCACACTGCATTATACTAGTCTCAAGCGTCCTTTGATAGTTGTAATAAAAACGACTGTTCTTTGTCGATTGTTTTTTTTGGAGACTTATAATAACAATTGCATTTTATATGGTTACATCACTCATATGAGAGATAAAAACATCATCACACGACTGCAGGAACTTATCACCGCCACAGAACAAACCACTCAGAAAGCGAAGTATTTATTTGTGTATTTTTGTAGCGTGCCGATATGGCCATGTTTCCCATGAAAACAGAAATGATGTGACGAGCACACGTGAAAAGAGTGTCTCACCATTACAGCTTGGCCGAAAACAGATGGAACGTCCCCTAGGGCTCTTGCCGCTTCTTGTAACACACCAACTACCTGCAAAGCAAGGTGAACCGATGTAACTGGCCCCACTTTTAAATAATAGAATACCTAAAGAATTTTCACAATGCTGTTAAAAGTGATTATGTCTACCTAAGGTGGCACGTTACACATGTCATATTTTTAGGTGCCTAAGCATAGCTCAAAAAAGGAATATTGTGCAACTGCAGACAGAAAATTCGACTTTTTCCCACACGACGCTTGCACACCTTCACTTGGCTACGTAATGAACACAGGGGCAGTCACTGACAAATGGCGTAGTTCATAGCGTAGTTAAATTGACACGAAAATGCCAACAGTAGTTCTTCATATTTCCCCGATTTCTGCGTTTTGTCGCTCAGCTCTTTTCTTAATTTTAGATACTTGCTTTGAGCAGCTGTGTATTACGACAAAAACTTACAGGTGATATACTCTCTTAGCATTATTGTTAGGCCTGTAAGAATTGGTGAAAGTGACGAAGCTATAGCTCGCCTAATCGGGCATAAGTTGCAATGTTTGACAACACGTTTGTGTTTACTATTTACTGAAAAATTACGGATGTTTGGGATGAATATAAAAACCAGGAATCTTTATCACCACTCAAGACATCATTCTATCTATTGCAGTAGGAGCGTACAGAACCTGTCTGAATTATGATATCCATAAATGAACAGGTATATAGTATAAATATTCGGTGACTTTCTAGCAGATAAAGGCCTACTTGTATAGCCTAACGAAGTTGGAGGTGACGGAGCGAAAGCTGAGTGAGTTCATGGCGTGTGAATATTTGCGCAATCTACAGTTCATGAAAGCACATCAACCAAAGGACGAGTGGGGATGCTAGAAATCTTAGCGTTTCGGCTATGACCTCCCAAATATCAACTCCCTCAGAGAGGTCGAGCAAGCTACATCATAATTCTCCTCATCCTATACCGTGCACTGAAGATCATTTTATAATGGGTAAGGCGCAGACTCGAAAGACACGGACTTGAAGGAATACGCATATATGTATTTGTAACTGGTTGGGTAAACAGCGTTGCCTACAAGAACAGCTCGTGCCAATTTATCGTTTGTCCTCTTTCTTTTAGTCTTGTTGACCGTGATGCCGAAATTTCGGTACGTAGCAATACGGAAGAAAAAAATAGATTTTTTCTTGGCTTTAATACTTTATATATGTTTTGCTGTTCACTCGGGACACTTATCCGTTCATAACTGACATGGTATTTTACACATTATTATTATTTGTTTCTTGGGAGACTAACTTTCACGAATATTTTATAGCGTGTTAACATTAGACAGTTTGTACCTTGGCCTGCTATTTAAAGCTTTCTTTACAATAGCTCTTGCCTGGAGAGCTTTTCTTTCACTCTTCTGAAAAGGTGGTTTCAATGAATTGGGCAGAATTTATTTAGGTGTCCTCGTTCAAGCATGACTAAAGCTTGTATAGACAGTGTATACACTACAAATTATAACGAACCATGAGAAAAGCACACGCACATCAACACTGATAACTGTGAATATTAGGGAAACACTTCACGATGCCTGGTGCACTTCATATCATATTTCTGTTGATAGGTGCGCTGAACGACATAAAATGAAAAGAAAATCTACGTTACTACGGATTTTTAAAACTTTGGCACTGACGTAGAGTAATCCAAAGCCTCAAGTTGACACCAATTGGAACTCGCGTCACATGTAAAAATGTCGCACCTGTGTAACTTTTTTGACGACAACCGCAATCATGAGGAGTATGAGGACCTGCAAAAGAAAATCAGTTTTACACCGTCGCCTCATTAACATTGTGCTACGAAAAAAAAAAGACTGAAAAAGATGGATGTACACAGCATTTTCACAAAATGTGGACACGTAGGATGTCGCTTGAGTGGATTTGTTTAATAATAGATTTAATACGGACTAAAACTACGTCATCTCAACTCACACTACCTACTTTCTGTCAAAGAATCTAAAATGGTAAGCTATTGTTCATAACTTGTATTCGTACAAATGCTGAGGAAATGTTGAAAACCTTCCAAAACATTAAAAATACAAATATAAAGGAACACACGAAGTTGTAAAAGTGTTCACGCGTTCGCTGCTCCGTGCTTGTATAGTAAAATCTGACTATACCGCACATGGGACAATCGAATTGTCCTATATATGGATCTAATTTTGAACACAATAGTGATTTTATGCCAATGCATGAGAAGATCTCCGAATACATTACGCAAAAATAGACGCAGCATTTCACGCACCAAACATCGAGCCACGTGAAAACGTTCCACGGCATGGACTTTCGCTCAGAACAGCTCGGCTTTTCCTAAGGGAAGTGGACTTTCCAGCACCTATATGGAAGGCCGAGTGGTGCGATTCGCAGGTTGCCGCGGGGAGTGAGTAGCACTTATTGTATGCCATCACACACTCTTTCCCGTGACTCCTATCGCGATTCCTCCCAATTTCCTTCACGATTCCTGGTTGCCGCTGCCGCCGGCCCCTCTGGCGTGGTCAACGTTTGCTTCTCTCCGATTATCATCTCCCTTTCTTAAAGGGACACAAAAGAGAAGAGCGATTTTTCTCGTATTAGTAAGTTAATTTTTCTCAATTTCGAAATCACCTCGCTTTGCTGCCAGAAGGCGCTTGGTAAGACAGGAAACACGCACAAAGAAATTGCGGTTGCCGACGTGACCTTGATTTACCACACATGAAGCCGTGGCGTTATGCATATCGACAGCGTGTACTCTACGGGCTACGCAGTTCCTACGAAATTCCCTAAAAAGTTAAGTACATTGTCGTCTAAGCGGACCAGAGAACTAACTTACCAAGTTTCCAACAATTTTCCAACAAGTCAATGTCACCAAACTTCAAAAAGTAAACTTTGAAATCCATAACATGAGGCGTGGGGATATCGGGGCAAAATTCGAAAATGAGATTCTTATTTTGATTTCTTTTTCTGCTAGTCAACACCTATCATTATAAAATTATGGACATAAACGGTCTCAGAGTACAATTTACCAAACCCACCAATTCACTGCTTTACTATAGTGGCTCTAACGTGATAGTTGCCACGAAACACAAGAGCGCGTGGATCTAAGCAAAGCAGCTAATAATCACGCTAATCAACTGAATCGAAGGTCAATAAAGGAAGTATGACATTGCCCATGGCCAAAATTACTGCAGCTTCCTGCATTGAGGCTGTTGGCGTGTACGCACCGGCGGTCGTTGAAGCGACGGCCTGTCCCGCCCGATATAGGCGATTCATCAGGTTATTGGCTTCTCGCGTACAACTTCACGCCAGCAAGGGACGTAGTTTTTTGGGAGCAAGCGGTGTGTGAAAAAGCACGTGAAGAACCCCGTCGCTTGGCGCTGCTAAGCAATATACGAGAGCCTCACAACCTGATGGAGAGCCTATAACGGGCAGACAGGCCCTTGCATTAATGATCGTCTGCGTGAACATCGCCAACAACCTGAAGGTTGTTGCATGCATGTTACATGTTCTCTTCGTGCTAGCCACCCTCCGCCACATCCTGTGGGGTGGGTGTAACAGTGCTGTGAACAATGGGAACGGGCAGGGCCAGGACGCCACGTATTCCGAAGAGGTGGGAGCATGAATACGCGCTGAAGACTCAAAGAAGGGTCACCCAGCGGCTTGAGGAGGCCCTGGCAAAGCAGAAGAGAAAGAGAGCCCACGCCCCGGACAACGGGAGCGGAGGAGCCCGAGTATCCAACGCCTAGCTGGAGCACAACGTCCTCAAGATCTAGGCTTTGGGACTATAGGACTCTATTGGCCATAGCCTTCAGATAGGGAATACCCGCGCCCTGCGTGGCCGGTGACTTCCCGCACGCTGGATGCGTAAATAAATGTTGTTTCTCTCTCTCTTACTGTTTCTCTATCTTCTCACTCTTTGATGCCATTGCCCCAGCATAGGGCAGAACACCTTCCTGCATTTCCTTCCTCTTCTTTCTTTTAGGCCAGTTATGACAGATTCTAAACACAATAAATATAGCACCTACCGTGAGTATTGTCAACAGCAGTAACACCAGGACCCATAGGCTACTGCGTTCATCGTGTTTGGATGATTCTATCACGTCCGTTGGCGGATGCTCGTATAAAGTGATGTCTTTTCCCCAAGCAAGCCTGAAAGTGAACATTGATCATGATCATTCGACGAATCTTAGAACATTAACAGGGGTTGCTGAGCCCTACGAAGAAAACTAGAAGCAGTGATAGTCTATTGCTTGCAACAAGAGACGCCACCGTTAAAAATAATTAGTTCTTTATGGTCTTCCCTATCGAAAAAACTACCATGGTGGATACTGGAAACCTCGGTGGGCTTAGTGAAAATAATATGGGTATAGTGGCAATTATGGTGAATATGCCAGGATATATCGGGTGGCATTGTGTACAGAAGATGGGTAGAGTGAAAACGATGGTGGGAAGTAGCGGTTAGATAGTGGGCAATCATTGGAGGCTATGCCCACCATTGCGATAATGCTGGGAAGCAGTAAGCAGATGATGGATGGCGAATATATATAGCGTACCAAGCTGGGATCTGTGCGCTACATGTGCCGCCATTCCGATTTCCACCAAAGGTTAGGCTTACTGACCGAGCCCGTACAAGTGTTATCTGCGCTTCGTATCTATCGATTGAGCCTTGAGGCGTCATAAAGCCTGAGCAGATATCGCTCTTTGGAACGAGCGAGAAACGTATAATAAACTTGACAGTAACCACCGGTAAACTGTACCTACTCCGTAATACACTCAATTTTTTTCGTGTGGCTGTGAATTAAAAAAAAACACAGCGCTGGTGCCGTTATCGCAGTGGAAATTGGTACAGGGAGCAGTTGTTTGTGTTTAATAAATGTGCAGACTTTAGTAGCAGGTGTAGATCTGTACAATAGATATGTGCAACAGATCAGTAGCAGGTACAAACAAAACCGAAGTTGTACGGTCAGTTCGTATGTTAACTGGCTATTTAACAGGTCATGTTCGTCGTGTCGAGATGGCGCAGCAGTTGATGCGTTCAGTTAATAATGCGCAGGTTGCACGTTAGAATCTGCGTAGTAGCCTCTTCTTTTTTCTTTTTAACGGGTGCTTTTCGATAATGTTTTACAATTATTTTTCTATTTTTTGTGGCACCTCGTCATGGTGGTTCTGACGCCGTTTCACACTCCAGCTTTACCGGCACTCCAGCATCCACCATATGCCACCATACACCATGTGCCATGGTGGACGTTTTTCCAGTACATGCCCTCTACATTAATCCACTATAATAGTGGGAGGTGGCTTTCAACATGCCCACAATTTGTTTTTTTTTCGATAAAGTTCAGTCTTAGAGATGTTTAAACAAAGAATTACACATGAACGGCTTACTTTTCATTGTATCGAAGCCACCAAGATGATACCTTTTTGCTTTGACTTGTCATAACGTAAAGTCGCCAAATCATTTTAGCGTCTCTAAGAATAGCGCATATACAACAAGGGAAGAAAGATGTACCTGAAACCAAGGTACAGAATACAAGGTGGGCAAGGCAACGCCATACAGCGTACTTATGACCACGTGATTACGATCACAAGATATGACACGTTAGAGTAGCCGCACCTAGTTTCACAATTAAATCTTCGGGAATTCATAAAAACTTTTGCATGACATCCTTGTTAGCTGAAAGGGCCAGACTCTCGTGGCGCGAGTTAGCAGAAGCGTAAATATGTTCGTTTTTATATTAGAGGTTTTCGTGTTCATGCAAGGGCCACACCTCAATTCACTCTAAGTTAAGGCTGATTTAAGCAAACTTCTTCGCAGATGCTAGCATCACAAAACTTGACTGCGTGTCACTGGCAAGATCACTGGTTTAACTACCAGAGTGTCCGCAATATAAACAGTATTCGTTCATTATTGTGCGCATGCGTGGAACCTAGGCCTATTACTATATTTGTAACAATATTTGTTAACGCTTTCATGTGTGATATACAAAAGTAAACTATGGATTAATAATATGCACCCCGAAAAATTGCGCTGCTGGTAATAAATGTTCGTTCGATTTTCACTATAAAAACATATTCGATAACCATTACCACGCCACAAGTGGGTATGCTTATCAATTACGCGTACTCCTGGGTATTTTCCGAAGGGCCTGTTAAGTTTTTCATCAAAGTATGAACAAGAGCTACAACAGTGTGTTTGCCAAACTTGTGCTTTTATTTCAAATGATACGCACAGCAAAGGTGCAACGGCTCTAGTTTAGTGGGGAGATCCACCGTACTAAAACGTAACGGACGATAAAAAACCCATTTGGACCCAGTATTGTGTGCTTTCCTCATGCATTCGGTTATTGCGCAGCTCATTGTCAAATGAAAAAAAAAAACGACTCACATAGCATTCCGTTCTCCTAAGTCAAGACTTTAAACTAAGTAGGTTGTATACACACTTACAACAAAACATTTTCGTGTTTTTTACCATGCCTACTTCTGATGAAAAGCTCTCAAAAAGGGCTACGATTTCCACAACTTTACGGTGGGTCTAGCGCTTCGCAAACGTGGGAAAGCTTTGTAATACACTTTTGTAATGAATGTTAAATCTTCAGACAACGATGTGAAAAAGCATTTCCCTAATGAACGCACGAAAGAATACATTTCGTATATCGTACCACGCTTTCCACCATTTTTTTTAGGCTCATGTGGCCCTCACGTGTAGAAAAATTATTGTTTCCCTTCACAATACTGTCGGAAAGTAAAACGTGAGGGAAAAAAACTCCCCCACCTTCCCGAAGGGGATCGTGAGGAAATGCGAATGCGTTTCTTGCGCCGAGATAGGGTACCGTTGCCGCCAGATATTCGCCTTCACTGACTTCTGAGATCGCTTTGAGAGGCTCCCAGACAGCGATTGGTCGAGAGTGAGGAGCGAGGGAACAAGAGAGTAGGGCGTGTGCATTCTCAGCTTGGCATTGGCGTTTCACAGAGGCGTCTCGAGCACACAATTCCGGATGTTCTTGAGAGGCGCCCAGCCAGCGAACGGTCGAGAGTCAGGCATGAGTGGACGGGAAAGTGGGGTGCAGGGAGGCGAGAGAGCGAACAGCGAGAGGAGGAGCAGCGAAGCACTTCACCTACCGCCTCCTACACTCTCTCGCACCACATGCTCCGGTTGCTAGGGGCGAGGGTAAGTGCGCGCGCCCGCAGCGTTGCTATGGGAGAGAAAGTGAGAGCGGAGAGACAACACCTGCTGCGCGGACATCGCCGCGGACGCTGCGGAAAACACCGGATGCCTGACATAGTCCGACTAAGGAATGCACTCGCATTAAAAATTTGGAGGGCGCTTGAACTTCACCTTCAAGTACAGATCACGATAGCGCAATCAGGACTCTTACGCATTGCCTTCTGAACTGCTACTTTGCTTCGGTTCTCCATGAATGCATCAACCGTACCATGAGGAAACGACCAACTGCCAGCGTAACATTGATCGTTTCAAGGTATCATGGAATGCCTAATACAAGCACAGTTGTTAAGTGCCAAGTTAAGTTATCAATACGCCATAGTTATTCCATTTGCGAATCAGTAATAGGCCCACTATGCTTCTACGGGGTAACACGTGAACCTAGATGGCTGCGCGTTTCGTGTATGTATCTGCCATTTTAGATGATTATATGTCTAGGTGCTTTGTAATGGCTGGGTCTTTAAAACGGCCGCTCTTTGCTCAATTTACATCTTTTATGCCTGGCGTGATTCCAGGCTTTTGACATGCAATATATGATGCGTAAGAAAGATTCCCTCTGCTACTTCACATTCATATAGTGTTTTTTTTTCTTTCGAAGCAGTTTTAACAAGTGTTGTTGCTCTGTGGCAAAATACCTGCTTGTCACGCAGACGGCTTGGGTTTGATCGTGACTTATACTCAGATAGTTTTAATAATTATTTTATTTGCAAAATTGCTCAATATTTCGGTTGTGGACAAGATAATTTTTCGCTCACAACCACGACGTTCACGCCGACAACGACTCAAACGCAGACGCTGAAGTTTTTGCGAAACTATTTCTTTTACGCTATCGCGTTAACTATTCTATAGAAACCACTTCCCTAAAGGAATAATAAGCAGCCGACCGCCATGGTTGGGAAAGGTGGCATGAAATGACTCTTATATAAAAGAGATCAAACATACTCTTGATAAGATTGCTTCTCCTATTTACTTCTGTACTGTAGAATTATCACACAGAAGTAAATGAAATAGTGACTATGCGTTCACCGAATAATTATCGTACTGTATGTGCACTTCTAGGCATGAAAACTAAGTTATACATATAACATAACAGGTGCTCTTACCAGAGTGTTATTGTGAATGCCAGCGTGCTAAGAGCTGATGCCATCATGACTAGCCAAGAGAAGATGCTGATCCAGAACCGAAGGCAAAGCATCCAGACGACTGTAATGCCTGCGGTCAACAAAACGAGTGCACGGATGCTCAGAGCGAACTGAATGGGTGATGTTTGTACGAGTACACCGAACACGTTGGGGTTATATGCATTTCTTCAAGCTTCACTACTAATTAAATGAGCCATAATCAGCGTTGAAGCCACGTGTAGTGCACCGATGGTAGTCGAATTCAAGTTCATTAAGTGTTCTTAGATAGGCGATCGAATTCAAAATCACGAAACGTGTTTTTTAGACTTTGGTATAAACATTTAAAGTTCAAGGTTACGCTTTGTTTCACTGGTTTCGTCGAAGGAAACGTCGCGGCCGAATCGGAAAGCCGTGCCTGAAACACATGTAAAGGGTGTACAGCAGAAATCGTACCAGTATTTACAACGCCATAATTTTCGCAAGCACTATGTAATCACAATCTGTAGTTCCTCGTTCAGTCGTTGGGTTTTTCAAGAAAATGCAGGAAATTCTTGCACGATTCCACTCGCCATAGACAGTAACCTAATACCTTACCTATTCCTATCAGTACCACGTAGCACATTCCGTCCATTTGCCAAAGTATATCGCCAGCAAGAATCTGGAAATACAGAGAAAAAAATCTGAGCATATCCACAAATGAAATGAAGACTATAGTGTGCAAAGCTCCGGGGGATCACTAACACCGATACGTTGCCCACTCGATTATGCAAAGACGTGAGGATAAGCGTGTACAGCATATACAAAGTTCTGTATTAATCTAAATGTGCACATGCTGTTGGCGTGTCCATATAGATATTGTTACGGGGAAGATTTATTCACCGACAGCGGGTCTCGCTGACGGCTTAAAGAGCGCACAGTCATGCAGGCCAACGGGGGAAGCTCGAGAGTCCAACCCACAATAACGACGTTGTCGTCTTCCTCCTTTTGGGTGCCATTTCAGCTGTGCCGGAGCGACAGTTCCATACAGGTATCATCCCCCCGGCCGGTAAGGCACCGTCTCGGTGCCTGTTAAATGAGCGAGTCCGCGTTGTAGGGCTTCAGACAAGAAACGTGAACTACTTCCGTTCTGAGTGCAGCAGCCGATGAGTTTGTGGTAGCGGCAATCTCGTAGGTCACAGGTGTGACCTGACGAAGGACTCGGTAGGGCCTAGCGTATCGCGATAGTAGTTTCTCGCACAGGCCGACACGTCGAGATGGGAGCCACAGGAGAACAAGAGATCCCGCAGAAAAAACGGCAGCCCTATGTCGACGGTCGTAAAGAGACTTCTGCGCTGTCTATGACGACGATAACCGAGCGCGGGCTACCGCGCGTGCCGTGAGGGCACGGGTGATGGCACCCTGAGTGTACGAAGTGGAGGATGGCAGCTCTGATGAAAACGTGTGTCGAAGGGCAGTAGGGGATGACGTCCGAAGAGTAGATAAAATGGGAAGTAGCCCGCTGGTTGATGACGCGACGAGTTATAGGCGAAGGTTACAAACGGAAGAGCTATGTCCCAATCAGTGTAGTCGGTATATACGTACATGGCAAGCATGTCTGTCAATGTGCGGTTTAGGCACTCCGTAAGGCCGTGTGTGTGAGGGTGGTAAGATGTGGTGAAGTTGTGACGGGTAGCACAAGATCGGAGTAGATCATCAACCACATGAGATATAAAGTAGCGACCACGGTCTGTGAGCAGGTGAGACGGAGCGCCATGCTGGAGAATAATGTCGTAGAGCAGGAAGTCGGCAACGTCAGTTGCACAGCTGGTTGGTAGCACTCGAGTGATCGCATACTGAGTGGCATAATCTGTGGCCACTGAAATCCATTTATTTCCAGTGTGGAAGTAGGAGAGGGACCTAGCAAGTTCAACCCCACTCGATAAAACGGCTCGGCTGGAACTTCAATAGGTTGAAGGAGAGCGGCAGGGGGAGTCGTAAGCTTCTTTCGGCGCTGGCAGAGGTCGCAAGATGCGACGTACCGGCGAACGGAGCGACAGAGACCATTCCAGAATACTCGTCGTCGAACGCGGTCTTAAGTTCTGGAGACTCCTTGATGTCCAGAAGTTGGAGCGTCGTGGAACTGTCGCAGAATTGTTCCATATACGTATCAATATTAATAAGGTTATCTATATGAATGGATATTCATATGGGTATCTATATGAATATCCATACAAATATCAACACAGATTTACATGTCCATATGAATATCCATATGGATATGGATATCCATAGCGTGTCATGCGAACGAACAGGGGGCATGACCCTAAAGAGCTTCGCCCCTAAAAAACGGCTTGCCGGTTACATTCTGAGTGTAGAGAATCTTTTACTAAAAGCTGTTCAAAACTGTTGCATAGACACTTCGCTCACCTTCGCGTCTTTTTCTCTGAGTACGAGTTGGCGCACTTCAGCTGCTTGCGCCGGGCAAACGTAAGGCAGTAGTCCAACACTGCGTGTTAGGAAAAAGGGTCGTGACCTCTTAGCGGCTAGTATAACCGACTGTCGGGCTGTATAGCTGGCATTACTTATTCTTATGTTTGCGCACAAAGGCACGAGGACAGAAAATAGATATAAAGAAATAGCGCTTAGTGCACTAAAACACGAGGACAAAAAATAGATATGAAGACATAGCGCTACTCATCAGTAGCGCTGTGTCTTCATATTTTTTTTCTGTCCTCGTCTTTTTCATCTTTCATATCTTTTTTCTGTCCTCGACAAAAAAAATTTTATTGCAAAGTGCTCAAGAGAAATATTGTTTACGAAATACTTCCTGAATAGTATTTCAATAGAAATGAGTCGATAACATGTTTATCGCAAATTGCTCAACAGAAATATTGTCGACGAAGTATTGAAGCAGGTCAATGAGCATTGTGGAACCATTGATGATCAATAGAGTCAACAATTCGATCACAGTCCGACAACAGAAAATCAACACTCATTTTTATAAGGGGATAAATGAAGGTTCACCACACGCGGCTTTGACATAAATAACTATAAATGAATTTAGCACATTGCCTTGTATTTACAGTTGTCTTTACAGTCGTACAGCACAGTCGTCCTGTAATCGCAGTGTTTCTGCATAACAAGTATACAAGGTTGCACTCACCCTTCCTTTTCACACTTTTCCACGCATATCCACACCGAGTCGGATTTCTCAAGTAGCCTGTTGAAGCAACATGATAGTGAAATATTGGTAGTAATCACCGGAGGTTCACATATTTACAGCTATTAGTAATAATGTTTTATGTACATTTAAGGTAAGCTGATGCACCGTGAATGAGAGCCCTCAACTAAAGGATGAATAGTTGGGCGAGTTTGTATACTTGCATAATCATTACACAACAGGCGGGAAGAACCTGGGTAACTATAGACAAAGCAGAAATATGCGTACGAAGCAGTATTTAAGTGCTATCAACGACCATTTCCTGATAACATTTACCACCAGATTTTCGCATCGCACGCTTTTGATATTTGGACCCGTGTTGCATGTTTCTAGTTTATATGTTTCAAGTTTCTTCTTTTATTAAATTTGTTTGAGGTTGTGCTTGTGTTCTTTTTTCCAGGTTCCACCTGCTGTGTGTATAGGTTTTTTCGGCGCTGCTTAATTACATCGCCCCGCCAATACGGCTGTTATTGAGAGGGCTGGGGGGCTTTGCCTGGCCTGCAAACCTCACCACGCTCGGTATAGCAGCCTCACACCGGGCCTTCATAAGCTAATTAAGGGTGATTCTCGTGCGTCTGGTGTAGGATCCGAGTCAAAATGGCAAGGCCGAAAGTACAGATCAGACGCGTTTTATTGATAAAAAGTGCATTACGTGTCTTATTCGAGTATTTTAACAATAGCGGAACGCCATGCAAGCTGACTGATCATGACATATAAATGGCGTCGTTGAGTTAGGCCTATCTCTCGAGCCATTTGAAGCTTTATATGTGGCTCAACTAAATAGAAGAACATGACCCTGTCTGTTTGAGTTGCTCCATGAGAGAATACGCTTCACCACCACCTATGAATGAAAACGCACACGTTTCCATAAATAGGCCATGGCTTGACCCTATATACTTGACCACTACTTGTCCTGCCGTTATGTTCATATTACTTATTTCGCAAGTTTCTTCTCCTTATGTGCTGTTCACAACGCGAAGACTCTGAAGTTTATAACGTTGCGTATATTCAACCTTTTTTTTTTGCAGCAACTTTGTTCATTATGTGCCACAATTGTCAAACGAATGCATTAGATAGTTGCTTTGTGATATTATAAATAGGTTGTCATAAGTACAGGAAAGCAATTGCCACAGATATACATCACGTCACTTGAATAGGATACTCGTACGAAAGCATGCGGTATTGTAGGCTTGTCAGCGTCAAGACCACCCCAAAGCATGGTGAGCACTAACTTGGTAAAACACCTGGTGTCTCGCATTGCCTACGCTGCGCTACAAGGCACTATGTTATCCTCAGTGTAGCACATTGAAGAGTGACGTCTCGCTTGAGTGGTAGCACACGTAGATTCATTGCGATGCATTTTGGTAAATGCTTCACAGTGCCATATTGTAGTGTATAAATGTTGCAGTACACAAATACCATGCTTTATAAATAAATTTTTGCTTGTCAATTAACTGGGTACCATTCCTTAACAGTTCATTGTTTTCATAGTATCATTATCGCCGATAAAAATTAACTAGCATATGATGTAGGTGAATGGCGTTTTGCAGAAGAAGAATGAGTTTTTTTAGCACAATCTTTGTCCTTCCGGGCTATACCTCCACAATGCCGGTACCACTATCCCGTTTAACTGGTCTCTAAAGCGCTTTCCTTACTACATGTGTAGTTGAACTCAGAATCAAAAGTGACCATGCATAAATGATTTTAGCGTCGTTTCATTTTTGTGTACATCGAAAAATAATTCCAGAAAGCCCAGGAAATATGAATGTGTTGCTGCAAGAATAATTAAAATTTATGAGTACGGACTGAATTCTGCTTAGCATGTAAGACGTAGCTATAATGACGTAGCGCGTAAAAAATGTGGGACAATGGACAAGGAAAGGGACGTGTAGGATGTAATAGATTTTTGACAAAGAAGCCAAAGCTTTCAGATGAAATCGTAATAAAAATATCACGGATGTATTACGTGCGAAACCCTGGACGCGATGTCGAGAAGCGCCATTATGGGGGATTGCACAATAATCTAGATTATCTGGAGTTATTTGAAGCGTACCTATGTAGACGGGTGCTCTGAAATATTCCCCTGCAGAAATATGAACTGCGCGGGACTTGAAATCAAACCACCCACTTCGAGCTTCCGTAACACCTAGCTCACCCGCTAAGCTATGGCGGTGGCTTGAATGCTGCAGGATAACTTGCATTGTTATGCATGGAGAACAACACGGACATCTCAAGTTTCACACCTTATTTCTAAAGCTTTCTGTATCCAGAGGCGGATCCAGCCACTCTTGTTAAGTGGGGGGGGGGGGGGTCACCTGAAGTGATATTGAAAAGGGGTGAATGGTCATGACTTTTTCCTTTTGCTACCAGAAAAACCCCTTCATAGCATAAATACTTTTAATAGGTGCTCGCGGTGGTTTCACTAATTTGTCCTGATTGTTTAAAGGAGGTGGAATACAAGCCCTGAAGTGAGGGGAGGGGGTGCTGACACATACTTGGGGGGGGGGGGTGGCAATCGCCACCACCACTCCTCTTCTGAATCCGCCATAGCCTAAGCACTTCCTGGAACAAAACTAGAGTGGGAAGTTAGTGCATCCTTCACGAGGCTACAAAACATGAAGGGAAGCAACAGGCAGTTCGGGCCATGGCTGTCTAGGCCATTCAGAAGCACCGTGCTCGTTGGATTTCGTTCAAGCATTGTCCACTCACTTTCTTTCACGCATATCCTGACCGGATAGTGGCACGCCGATGAGTTTCCGGTTCTGGTTGTCCAGGCCACAGAGGTTGCCAAAGCTGTCCGCATAATGCAGCAGGCCCACATAGTCCCGGCGAGAAGCAGCGGCTATTGCGACGCAGACCTGTCATTAAAGAAAAACAACACAATAGGATCAGTCCTCATCATTTATCATATTCTGTCATAAAGTGGCTATAAATATGACCTCGACCAGACTCAACCTCACGCAAGGACAGACTTGCACTTGCATGTTTGAGATTGCAAACAGTGCATCATCCGTCAAAATGTGACGAGTCAATGCGGTCTTTCGCAGTGGATGACCAGTGCTGACTGTTTTGCAATGACGCAAGAGTGGGCATGACAGAGGCCAGTTTGGTATTAAAGGCAAGGTAGTGAAAGCACGCATCAAGGTTCAAACTACTGTGCAGGGTCAACCGCCATACGTCGAGGTCAACGCGGCCTCAGAATTGTACATTAGGCGACGTTGTAAAGGTCACCGACATAGCTTCAAGATAACGAGTGGGCTTCACTGCTATAGTACAAATGAGTGAAAGCCAGCTTACAAAAACCAAGCTTACATCAATCACATTGAAGTCTCCTTCACTTTTAAGCACAAAAGTGCTGCTGAGAACACATTTTATGGGTAGTACAAGCAACATTATAACAAGATATAAAGGCGTTAGTAATTAAAGAAGAAAATGAACGACATCTTCATTAAGGAAATCCTAATAGTATGCGAAGCAGCAGCGTTGCGCACGGACACGATCGCAGTTTTTCACTAGCGCCTCCTTGGTGTCGTTGGTTTTCCGCTGCTGACGCTTGCATTCGGCTTCCCTGGCTCGCGCCCTCATCGGTGTTGCAAGCGTGACGTCGCCATTCGCTAACGCGATCGGCTGTGCTAACCCTCGCAACGCCGGCAACGACCGAGCTAGGCCAAATCGCTTCGGTGCATGTTTCAGCTGGCGAAGGAACTTCGCTTTCCAGCGTCCTCTCCATCTCAAACAAACGAGCCGAAAGAGTGTTCACTCAATGTGCGCTCCAATGTTGCGAGGGGTGGAGAGAGTGAAGCAAGAGAGAGGTGATACGGGACAAGCGCGTGGCAGGCGAGGGAGAGAGTGACTTCACCACGCACTGCGAAGAAAGGCGTGACCTACTTTACATCGCCCCAACACCTGTGGTGAGGGGAGTGCGGTGAGGCACGTTGGCACGGAGACATGGACGGACAGCGTTACACAGGTTAGTCCGATAGCTTCTTCGCATCTAAAAACAACCACCGGCCAGCGCTGAACAAGCAAGACAGTGACAACGAAAGCTGGACGAGCGGCCTTTCTAGAGACCGTTGTATCTGTCGGGGTAACTACTACAAGTACAGTTGCAATGTAACTACTTGGCTTTAACTCATCTTAATTTCGTGAAGCGTTCGAAAGTACAAAGTATGCCTGTACTTAGCATTCTGCAGAGAACCAAGGTAGCCACCATGGGTTATAGAACGTTATGTTTACTTTGTTGATGCTCTGGCTGTTGAGGATGCTGTATTAGGGCTGATCCCTTTGTAACGGACAGAAATCATTTAAACGACACACTCGTTACGGAATTCACACTATGTGTGGTGCGCTTGTTATTTAACTTTCCGACCCGTTACACTGCAGTTGTGAATGCAATTCTTTGCCTGTACATGGTCTTCTTGCGAAGAAGATTCAAAGATCAGCGTGTGCCTGGGCTTGATTTTCATTGCGTCCTGGATATTTCTTATCATTATGAGCTATAGTTGTTGCGGACACTAGCGGCGGCTGACAGCTATGTCGCCGAAATCGGCCGTTGTTCAGATCACATGAAGCTTTCCCCGTAAAAAGCATGCAATGTAAATGAGTTTACATTAGTTTTAGGCTGCACCTACGGTTCGTCTTTAGGTTTGCGTTTAGTTTCGTCACACTTTAACCTTACGCCCAGAATAAGGCTTTTCAGCGAGATAGAAAGAACATGAGAGCAATGCGACGACTAAGTGCAAAGTTTAACATTGAATATTTTGTCACTACTAATGCAAAGCATGAAGTTTTCGTGAATCAAGAACACCCTGTAAAAAAATAAGCCAGGAACCCTTAGGGGTTCTTTACGTAGAAATAGGCATCACGCAGCTCCTGTTCAGAATGTCAGTTGTTCAAGGAGGACACCCGGTCGCATGTTAGCAGTAGCTGTCCGGGTCTTCAGGATACGTGGGTGGTGCCAAAGATGGATAACGTAGATGTTGTAGACGTGCGCAGCGTTCCCCATGGAGGGGGTGGGGAGCAGGATTCTTTTACATGCTCGAATGAACTTTTTAAATGTGCCCTCAAAGAAGTTCCCGAACTTCTACCATATCGGCTCCATCAAAATGCGGCCGCAGCGGCAGGTACTGTGATCAGGTATGAACTTCAGGAGAAACAAAGTTGCATTCAATGTTACTAGGCCGTACAACCATAGCGACCACGCATTCTCTATTTTGGGTTCACTAGTACGCCCTTAGTAAACGAAGTTGGGTCAATGCGGCTGCCATGAGTGAAACTGTCGTTTTCGACTTTTTCGGGTTGTATTGACGTTGCCTTTTGTTTTTTGGTGTAAACGAAATGAACAAACACAAGGCCTGTGTTCAACTGGGACTAAGTCAATTCCTTTCGGCCAGACCTACAAACTCCGATGGGTGTCACAACACGCCAGAGTTGACCGGAATCGCGACTATCGGAGATCGATGTTCTTTTCCGCCTTCGTGTCCGACCCGACGCAGCAACGATCGAACAACTTGCGAGCGCGGCCACGGCCGAATGAAGCTGCAGCTAGCCGCCATCTACCGTGCTATCTTCAGCGCATTGATAACTTTATTCGCTAATGGTGCTTCGACACGGCTGTCCATACGACCAAGGCGGTGCGTGAATACCGGGAATAGAACTGTGTGAGAGCATTCGGTATATCTTGCTTTCGCCGAAGAAGGCCGCCGTCAGCGCATTAGCTCTTGGTGCATACAAACGTAAATCTGCTGCGGGCGCTGGGCAGATATATGGCCGGCCTGGACGGCTTCCTGCCTACCGCACAATTTATCATTGTTATTTTATAGTCATAAGTAATAGTGCTGTCAAACCTTAAACACCCCTAATGTGTGCGCGCGTGTTTACAGTAAATATTTATGTTGGAAAATGTACATACAAGTGACATATTTAGCAAAGTATTACAAGAAATAAAAAAAAAACTTCATTTGGTTCAGAGGGTAGACTGCAGACCATGGAAAGTTGAGCTAAATGTGTTTTAATAAAATTAACGAAGGCGCTACTTTCCTTGGGTAGTTCAGGCAGACACATTTGCAGCATGAAATTCACAGCGGTTATATTGTGCTGCTGCATTGCGGCTGTGATGTTGCGACATAGGGGGGGGGGGGGGGGGGAGGTTCTACGAGTTTAAAGCTTTTGGTTCGCTGAGTTAGCGCTTGGTAGCCCGGAACGATGTCAGACAAGTAGCCAATTGCACCGCTTCAGTGGCTCCTGTGATGCAGTATGTTTCCCCATTTGCTAATTTGCAGTACTCACGTTTCACCACGTATCCCTTAAACCGGTCTCTCAAAGAAAACCTCAGTGAATACCAGATGCCTCTTCGCGAATCATCCGTGCATCTTTTGGAAACCCCATCTCTTCACAGAATTTGTCGGTAAACTTTCTTTCATTCGTATTGTCCAAGACTCTCTCCCTTCAAGGACATAAGCGTTTACAAGACCAGATGCACTTACTCATATCTGCCTACTTCATCACACTCAGTAGAATGAGGAAGGAGCCGCCCTTACTTTAGAAAACCACGCAGGAGCGTAGACCGTTCATGTTATTAGTTTCCATAGTAGAGTTTCCTCGGCACGACTAAGTACCGTTGCCACAAAGATCTGTTGTGGTTAATCCTTATAAATAGCGAAAATGGCACGAACGCTGGATAAAAAAAAAGACGTGTTTTTTTATCCAGCGGCTCTGAAAATGGCAAGCAAGTCTCTCTTTAGATAGTTGCTCATTCACCGGTGCTATCACTGTCGATCATCCTGAAACTTTTCGTTTGCTAGGGAACTCGACATTTTGCTGACCGAGAACTTTTTCGTTCCGTAATAGGTGACAATTCCTGTTTTTAGTGCAAGAAATCAGCAGGATTTTTCCTGGAAACAGTTGAGATATAGTTGCCGCAGTGGTTGGGTCAATTAGCGTGGAATGATGAAGTATTAAAGACAATATTGAAAATGATAGTCTTCCGATAGGAATATTTGAACGCTGAAGATCTGGCCTGTCTGTCGTTCGACCTATCAGTCTATCACATGATTCATCCACCAGGCCTAAAGTTTAAGTATTTGCTATACGCCCAGCCATCTTGAACTGGAGGCTGCGTTCATAGTTGTGAGCATTGTCGATCAAAAAGCAAATATTAAGCATATCTAAGGCCCAACATCAGTACGTAAGTATAGGATGGTATGTTGCTTTATTAGAAAATACATCGCTACGTAATTCTCGAGGTGTTTCTTACGCTGCGCCGAAACTGCAACGCTATGCCCGAAAAAGCCCCCTACGAACGACATAATGCTGCCTACGACAGCAAGATGGAAATGGTAGAAGAACAGCATCACGGCTGGCCATGGATGAGACTAGGACTCATGTAGAACGGCCGGCAGATGACTATCGTAATGCGACGACACCCGCGGCAAAGCAAGCAGATACGCGGCCAAGTGTATATATCATACATCCTTCTCTCTTCTGTCTGGGCTGCCTACGGGATAAAAGAAGCATACGTCGAGAAGCAGCGTTGCCTTTGAAGCCACTACTAGAACGGCTGACCATAGGTCAAGTTGGTTCGTGACCGAAAGCGTTAAATTGCGTAAATGAGAGAATGACTAAGGGAAGAGACTACGACACACAAAAAAAATGAACCAGTGCTGATATTTAGCGCTCTGTGGGTCGCCGTCTCTTCTTGCGGTCGTTGTCCCGTTTCACAGTTGAAAACCTTTTGAATTTGTGGGACATGTAGGGGCCGAGACGCCCGCGCTGGGCGCACATACGCACACTGGAAACGAAAGTGCGCGAGCCGCCACCTTGCACTGTTGTGTTGTTCCAACTTCAGAGTTGAAAATGTGAAGAAAAATAAATTATCCTCACGTTTCGTAACAGTCGTCATATGGACAGACAGCGTAAAAATTAACGCCTTTATTGTAAACTAGCAAACCAACCACCATTTTGGCCACTTGTGCTGCGCCCAGGTGAAAGCCTTGTTCGGCATCTTGTAAAACAACCTATGGGATAGCTATGGCCTGTGTAACGTGGAAGAGGCCCGGAAATCTCTTGATATAACGCACGTTAGGTTACGTGGACGTTATAAGGTAGACTTACCATGTACACGGCGAAAACGGAGAAGACCATGAGCGAAAAGACGTCCTTGCATTCCCGGACTTGGTCAGGCTTTCGGAAGTCCGTCACTTCTCCCTCACCCGTCTCCGGTATCGACTGCGAAAGGTAGAATGCACCGTACTAAAATGAATCAAGGCAGCTTTTTCACGTGACGAAGGCATAGCGGAGCGGGATCGCCTTTTATGTTTCTCTATGGCGCTATTTTTATTTTCTGCTTTCTTTTTCTATGTTTTGTTTTTAAAGACGATAGTCCTTGTGGGGACCTTCGACGCAAAAATTTTGGTCTGACTGTCTGTTTGTCCACCCTTAACAGTACCCTAAACGGCCCCAAAGTGACCAAACGATACTCCAAACAGCCGACCCAATCCGCAGCGCCCACCAATATCGCTCAAGGTTCAGCGCTCATACTTATGCGATTGTCAATTAAAAAGCAATTATTGTGCATATCTGACGCACCGAAATAGCACGTCAATATTATGTATGTGTATTCTTTACTAAAAAAGACATACATATGTAACTTTCACGATCGTAGCCTTTATAACACTGCGCTGGCCATGCAGTGCTTGCACGAAACGGCAAGTGTTTCCAACGCTTTGCTAAGACGACACAGAGGTGGCACCTATTCGCCGCCTTGCATTTTACACCTTATCACTTCAGAGATGGGCGTGCACGGCGCGCGCCAGGTTTTCCAGGATAACTGCCAGATAGCACTCATGTCTCACGTGTGACGTGACTTGATGCACTCGTTCGACTCCACTGCACGTTCGAGGCACTCTAACGCAGCGCCTCCAGTATATCATTCACCGATTTTCTTGCGCAGAACTTTAAGTAAACGATTTGCTCACTCTCTCCAGACGTAAGACTATCGTCTTTTGACGACATTTGTGGTGTATCAGCAGATACGGGGCCTATTTTTTAAACGATTTTTCTCATCTTTATCTGTACTTATCTCTACCATAATCTAAGCTCTCGAAGAACAAGATGAAGAAGACTTCTCCTTTACGCGAGCGCACGCTCTAATGGCTACGCTGCATGCCTTCTGCCTGCGTTACGCGGCTTTACGACGATGGCAGCCTGCGACAGCATACCAGAGCGAGACCACCTAAAGCGCACCGCACTTAAAAACAGTTCGACGAGCTTGAAGCTTTGGATTCACCGAGTCAAAGCTTGGTAGCACCGAATGATGTCCGAACAGTTCCTAAATTGGAGGCCACCCTGTTCCTCGGCTTGAGTGTCTGGTTGCGGCACTCGCACAACAGAGTTGGTGTGCACTGGCGTACTCCTCGGGTTGACATCGTTTTGAAGCTCTGCCGAAACGGATCCTAGGCCACGTAGAAAGAAACGGGCGGTTGAGATCTGAAACGCCCAATGCCGTGATGATCCTAGCTACTCATACGAAAACCGTCTGCTCTTTCAACCCACTCATTGAATTCGTTTCTCGTAACTCTCTTGACAATTATTTGGTGCTTATCTCAGTAAGCTTGTGCTCCTATCTATCTATCTATCTATCTATCTATCTATCTATCTATCTATCTATCTATCTATAAATATATATATATATATATATATATATATATATATATATATATATATATATATATATATATATATATATACCTAGCAGTCAACTTAAACCCAAACGAGTGATTTTATTGAAATTTCATTTTATATTATTTTATATTAGGCTTTTGTCTCAACGTTTCTAGTCCCAAAATGCCTGAAAAAGAAACAAAAGAGCTGCTAAACACAAAAGAAAACAAAAATAACAATGAAACAGCTCTTTCTACCAATTAACAAAAGTATTTGGCTAAATGAAAATACAAGTGTGGGTGATGCGATACATTCTTACTTCTACAATGCCATTCCGAAAGCGCAGGTCCTAAATGAACTACGCTACGATAATAAGGGGGCGAACTTAGCATGCACGATTTGCACTTCGGCCCTCTCACATGCGCTTCTACATTTCACCGCCAGAAAATCTATTATCAAATGTTATGATTGTACGGAAACCCGGGGAAAATGCGAACACCTACTTGAACCTGATAAACAACGACGCCAAGCAATCGACGGAGTACATAGAAAAGAAACGACAAACTGCAAACGAGGCTACGCATTTGTACACCCAATCCATTTACGAATGTCAAGGATTCATATCAAAACACTTGTGAAGAAGCGATGTAGTAAACCCATCTTTGTTTAATGAACAATTGTATTACATAACATGAAAGGCTTGGGCAGAACAGTTGTCTAATCTATATATACCTAACGTTATCTACACTCTGTCTGTGGTATCTTGCAGTATACACTATGCGGAGTGACCACTGGTCTCACTTACAACTTGGCAAAACTTCACTAGAGCATGTCCTCTGTCACGTTAAGCGAACCATAAATTGCATTACTAGTGGCGCCAGTCGCCGTTGCTTTGTGCGGCGTTCTTTGATGAACTGAGAGATGGGAGACCTAGTTGTCCAGCCCACTCGCATTGAGTACCAGGAGCCATGAGATAAGTAAATGCGAAACAGTTTCGGCATCTATCTATCTATCTATCTATCTATCTATCTATCTATCTATCTATCTATCTATCTATCTATCTATCTATCTATCTATCTATCTATCTATCTATCTATCTATCTATCTATCTATCTATCTATCTATCTATCTATCTATCTGTCTGTCTGTCTATCTGTCTGTCTATCTGTCTATCTGTCTGTCTGTCTGTCGGTCTGTCTGTCTGTCTGTCTGTCTGTCTGTCTGCGTCTATCTATCTATCTATCTATCTTATCTATCTATCTATCTAGCTATCATATCTATCTATCTATCTATCTATCTATCTATCTATCTATCTGTATTCTGTCTGTCGATCTATCTATCTATCTATCTATCTATCTATCTATCTATCTATCTATCTATCTACTATCTATCTATCTATCTATCTATCTATCTATCTATCTATCTATCTATCTTCTATCTACTATCTATCTATCTATCTATCTATCTGTCTGTCTGTCTGTCTGTCTGTCTGTCTGTCTGCCTATCTATCTATCTATCTATCTATCTATCTATCTATCTATCTATCTATCTATCTATCTATCTATCTATCTATCTATCTATCTATCTATCTATCTATCTATCTATCCGCCGATTTTAGCCTACGCGACCTTACATTTTTTACAGCGAAAGCTGTTTTGAGATAACAACTCAGGTCACGAGCAGTTGCCCGCCGCCGCCACCGCCGGTGTCCGTAACCACATCACGCGAAATTAGAAAAAAACGAACTTTAAAGACACAGCGGCGCTCAAACCCGGGTCCGCTGAGCGCCAACCCAGTATTCTAAGACTGAGCTACACTGGTGCTTGCAGCTTATTGCAAACTTGCCTTAGTCAGGTTTGATGTCGGGAGAGCATTCTCATGAATACAACGTAAAAATGGTTTTAAAACAGCGAAAGAACAACCATTCATAGCACCGTGCGAATAGCGTAACGAGTGGGCCGTTCCATGCTGCAATGCATTACAAAACCTTGTTCTTGTTCCCCTATTAACTGTGGAGCATACCCACTTCAACCATAATTCTTCATCGTTGTCAGCCACTGCATGAACAATGGGCTGCATGAACAATGGGGAAATCCCTTAGAAGTGTTTAGCGGATACAACGCTGCTCGTAAGAATGACAAAAAATAGCATGGCGAATGCCGGCCTACTACCCAAAAGCTTATTATTGATGCCCTAGTGGGTACTAAGCAAGTGTACCTGCAGTAGCTACCCAATGAGTGTTTAGAAAAGTCTCTGAAAGGCCGCTCTCCCAGCTTTCGCTGTGACTGTGTGGCGCCTTCTGCGCAGGCCTGGCTTTTTTTTTTTTGTAAATGAAAATCTGAAGGGAAATTGAAAAAAAAAACTTCGGGTTAACCAAAATTAGTATGAGATTTAAAGATAGTTTATGGATATGACTTGCTGACCGTGACATGGGTAACATCCCAGTTCCGTCACGCACGTCGTCAAAACCTTTTCGCAAGACGTGTGGAACATACCTGTGGCAGGGTATGTACCACAGGTACTTGACAGTTTGTGTCTACCCGGAAGAGCGAGAACAGACATTCATAATTAAAATGCGAGAGCGTTAAGAAGAACCGACCATAGGCAGCGTTGAGAGGACGAATGCAAAGCATAAGTGCTGTGACTCCAGAAAGAATCGAACCCAAGCATTCTGTGTGGCAAGCAAGTAGTCGGCCACGAAGCCACGAAATATCTAGGAACTGCTTTGGTAACAAATCCTACGAAGGCGTAATTTCGTGAAACTCGAAAGGTTGTTGCAGTGCATGGCTATGGAATTTTATAAATGTTGCCAATCCTGCCGACTCGTGGTTCATGCAGGGTAGTAATGCAAATACATGAAAAGCAGCAATGACGCAACAGCAACTAAGGTGAGTAACGTTATTTTTTAGCCTGAGCACGTGCATCGGTAATATACTTATGGTCACGAGTGCTCTCGGAAAATTATGAGTACTTAAAAAGGTCAGTGTGAGCGAAAGGGGGGGTAAGGATGGGAGGTGGTGGTTTATGGTGTGGGCGTGGTGGAGCCAGGACGGCCCGCAAGATAGGGGTGTCAAATACAGGGATGAACCTAGAGCTAGTTGGTAATTCTAAAGTTGATAATGAAACTGTAATCTAGTTTTCGCCTTCGTGCTTGTAATAAGGGAATGGACATTTGCTTGTATTAAATCTGAGGGGAAGTCTTAAAGGGAACATTTGTTAAATACATATCTTATAGCCTTTATTTGAAGGCTTTCAAGAGTGTTAATATTACGCTTAACGTAGCGATCTCATATGATGCACACGTGCTCTAGTTTTGGTCGCACAAGGGTAGTGCAGCATAATAGCGTAACATTTGTGGGAGACATTTTAAGTTAGTGTTTAAGGAGACATATTGTGCTAAATGCAGATGAACAACGGTTATCAATGTGGATATTTCAAGATGAATTACAAGATAGTGCCAAACCAAGGTACTTGTAAAAGTTTACTTGTTGCAGTGGAGAAGATCCTCGTACATAGCTTTACGAATGTGTATTTAATGGGACGAGTTACTGGAACGCAGACACATTACCCATTTTTTTTTACACCGTTCATGTACATAGCACAAGCTAGTGGTCAATTCATTGCAATCGTTAGTGGAAGTTATTTCTCTGAACAAACCACAATCATCTGCAAACAATCTGTTTCTACCCCAGGGTG